CGAGCGGACAGCCCTGTTGAGCCGCCGTCGGCAGCGCACTTGCCGCCAAAGGTCACGGACGTCGACGTCTGGAGCGGGCGGGGCGATCAGGCCGCCGCTCGTCGCGCACTTCGCCATCATTTTTTGGTGGTCTTTTTTGAGAGGCGAAACCTTGACGCCGGCGGAGGGCGACGGGGCCTTGGACTGGGCGGAGCAGCGCTGGCGCGCTCCTCAGATGGAAGCGGAAAAACCAAGGAGGAATGGTGGGAAGGGAATACCGCTGGAAGAACATTTCAATGGATTGTGTGTTAAGTCAGAACCCTTGCGTTTCGAAGTGCTTCCAACTTAACAGCTCACGGCAAGGCGCCACCAGCTTGCTGCATCAACCAGTAACGGATACGAGACAACCGCTTTAGCTCAAGCCTCACAAAGCCGTCTGGACCCCGCCAATGCCCGCTTCCACATCTCGGTGAGTTGTTACTGACGCCGGGGCCCTAATGAAACACACCGTGACATATCGGCCTGCAGAACATGACAGCTGGTCACCTGGGCCGCCAGCCGGCCCACGGGCCGACAGGAAACCCGCTATGCCTGCAAACGACACGCTGTCAAACCGATCTGTGAAAAAGAGCACGACCCGCCGGCCTCAAGGCCGGAAGAGCTGTCCGGCAGTGCCGCAGCCGGTTGGCGGCATAGCATCGGCTCATTTGGCGGGCCCGGTCGGCGCCAGCCGGCGGCTCTGGCGGCCCCTCCGTCTCTGTTAGCCTCTGTCGGAGCCGCGGCGGAGAGCGCCTTATCGGCAGCTCGATCTGGGCTAGGCCGCCAGCTGCGCCACACTCACAACTCGGACGTGCCCACGGCGAACAGAAGTCGCCTTACGTCAGGGCCGTGACTCAATGGCCGTACGTCATCCCTGAGCTCTGTGGTCACGGGGAAACCGACGCAGTTACCAGCCGACCGGCTGCCGGCCGTCCGTCAATGGAAATGACGACTGTTCCCTGCGTCGTGCGCTTGGATTTGACGTCACATGAGCCGCCCTCCTGGCGAGGCGAGGCGGCGCTGTTCCAAGCGCTCACGATCAAAAGGGACCACACAGCTGAGCGCCCGAGATTTACATCCTCTCCCGCCACTCAGATTAAGTTATATCGTGATATTTAGTATAGCCACCAAGCGTGTTTCATAACCTGTCCGTTGCCAGCACCCCCGAGCGGGTCGACGTGGAGGCAACGCTGCCTACAGGGAGGAAGACGCTTCCGCGCGCCGCGCCCGGCCCGCGCCGGCCTCAGGTGGGCCCGCGCGTGCGGCGCCGGCCCGCCGGCCAGCCCGATGACCGTCCGTCCGCCGCGGCGCCCGGCCGGGCCCAGTTCCGCCTGACAGCAGAGACACGGCGCCAAGGCTGCACGACACACCCGCGCCCGCTGAGCGGGATCAACGGGCCCCATCTGCACCTGATGCGATGCCCGGCCGCACCGGCACGGGACGGGGCGGCAACGTTCCGACATGTTGGGCGCGGAGTGACCACGCGAGATCAGTGACCATCCGTGGTCAATGCTGAAGTACCTGATGTCCCACCGCTCGAACTTGGCTTCTGAGAGCACAACCAGTGATTGCAGCATTTCGGACGGCGGTTTTACCTTGACATTCAAAGCCACCGGTGTCGTGCTCCAAAGCGTATGTTGTTTTAGTGAATGCCTGGCCAACGAACAAAGGCGCGTCAGGGCAACGTGTCTGTCTCTTGCCGTGCATAGCAGGGCACCTTGCGAATTGCGTGATCCGTGCATTTACCATGCAATAATGCCTTCAAACGAACCAAGCGCATACTATACATATGTAAACATATATATGCATATATATATATATATACATATATATATATATATATATATATATATATATATATATATATATATAATTGCCTCACTACGTCAGGGTACTAGATGACATTCGCCACGTTTTCCCCGCGGGTGTTTTCAACTACCGTCTGAACAAACTGAGGCATTATCTCCGTTGAACATAGCGCCAGAAAGAAGTGGGGACCCTATTTGACAAAATTGCACAAAATGGAGTTCGGCCGGTTTTGCAATTTGATGCATCAACTCGTGAGCACATCATATTAAAACTTTCTTGTGAGAAGCGAGCCGAATATCATCTAACACCATGGAGAGGCGGGACGATTATATTAATTAAGAGTAAATGCTTGTCGTCCAACATGGCTCTTATCTGTAACACTGTATGAAGGGGTTTTCCTCGAGGCCTGGATGAAGAAAAGGGGCATAGGAACCATTTTAGGGGAGATTTGTCAAATGAAAAGTGTGACAACATTTATTTCCAAAATGGTACAATGCTTGTGCTATGCAACGCATGGTAAGTAGCAAAAGGGTGGTAAGAAGTAAGTTGTACGTAGTAAGTGGCAGAGTGGGGTTATTGTCAGGTCATCTTAATTCCCTTTTACAACTTTTATTTCCATGACATCCAACACTGAAGTGCTTTGAAACAACTATTCTCCATTGTTCGTTACATGCATGATTCATGACACAGCCGCTCACTGTTTCGGCCATAGTTATGAAGTGAGGAGCTAAATTGGTGACCTTTTGGTCCACATCGTCTATTTGTGGGAGTTGTGACCGTTTCTTAACTATAGCAATTGTAGTGCGGTACGAATTTCTGATTTCTCAGAAACCATGCGGACTGTGCAAGAAAACACAATGCCTTTTACCTTATTTTATTCCTTATTTATTTCATTTCTTCGAAGCATTTTCTTGAAAAATCATTTCTAGGCCTAGACCAGCACAAGCCCACCTGCACCAATGCAACTAATGATTGAATATTCCGTGGAAAGCTATCTCTAGTCCACGAGTTAAATGGGCCACGGGACTGGCGGATCAAATTCCAGCACGTCTTTTTTCACGAAAACGTGCTTTCTCCTCGTGTTTTGCTCTCGTGCTGCCCATAGTCTTTACATGCCAACGACCATTTGGGTTGTTTTACGTTGCTGCTGGCTGGGGTTCTGTCGCACGTTAGTTTAACCTTTGTGAATCAAAGTCACTACCTCCACCGTCCATTTGTGTGATGCACACCAAACTGGTATCCGGACATTTCAGGGCGCCTTAGTTGCAGTAAGGGATAAGGAGGCACACATTTCAGTTAATCAATCAATCAATTTAATCAACAAAATATGACTTCTGTTCTTCAAAGCGACGGTGGCTGTAGAGCCTGCGCCTTGAAACAAGTGATCGCGATCGCCATCACGATGCCTCAGTGCCTTTCGCATTTGCTTAATTGGCCCGAGTTTCGCGTTGGTGACAAACACGTACAATAGCGCTAACAAAGTATTCATCCGATGTTGACGGTCCTTCTGTTCACAAAAACTGACCGAATATACAATAAACCGTCAGTTTTCACGACACAATTCACAGCAATGTTCAAAATTCGCCGCAAAACGGAAATAAGTCGTTGCTCGCACCATTAGTACTAGCAAGCACTTTCGTGTCAGAATTTAGGTGAAAATTATCAACATGTGAAGAGAGCGAACATTTCATGTAATACGCGTTACTTTCGAAGTTCCTGTGCATAATCTAACACAAGTAAGCATATACGACAACTGTATGCGGTTTACAAAATTTTCCAAAACGGCAACGCCGATTTAGAATCCATGCGATTGCACACGGATTACACCGCGACGGAGCTTGGTTTACCATGACGTTCCCCGACCAAATGATTGCAGTTAGAGCGCACACAATGCGTAAATACTGTGGTGTAGACATACGGGCGCACCCATGCGCTACGTTGTCAGATACATTGTAATGTACATAATAATGTATCTAATGTCATCCACGAGGACGCAGACGATACTTCTAGCCGCAAGAACTATGCAAACAATAAATCTAAGCCGCAGTCATTCAATAATAGTTAAGATACCAGAGCAAATGATATCGCAACACTGAGCTATGTTCGAGCATGCCTCCCCAATACGCATCAAAACACATTCACCTGTGCTTGTAATTGGGCTGTTGGCAAACCTTGGAAGAAACGGGTTGTTGGATCTGGTAAGACTTTTAACGTTGGGTGCAAAAACCGGCGCAACACGGAAAAAGTGATGCCGGACTCCCGACAGGCCCTGCTTACAACATACGTCACAGCGATTGATGATGCTACAAAAAGACACACACACATCCTGCATTTGCGCGCACAAAGGACATGGATTGTGGCTACAGGTCTCGAGAGAAAATTTGAATGCACTGCCACACGCTTTCACAGAACAAACAGGCCACGAGACACAGCGCACCGTGGCCTTGGTGTCGCAGCCAATGGCTGGTGTCTTTGTGTAGTGACTCGTGATATGACATGGTAAGCGACCTACGTACACACAACTATCAGCCATTAAAAAATGACAAATATCAAGTTGAAAGAGAGAATGACACGGTGCATGGGGGTGCCGGATGGCAAACACGGTAATTATCACCGCAATTCCACACTAATTACCACCGCAATTAACGTGATTGTAACAGCTTCCCATTGCATTGCCACGTTCTTGCAGCTTTACCACACCAATATGCTTCAACATTCTCCGCCCACGGGTGACAATGCATTCTCCGAACAAAACAGCCACGCCAGTGCTGAAGTCGCGTCCGCTGAAGAGCCCAGGTCAACTATCCCACGCGGCTGGTTCCAGCTCGGGAACGGCATTTGGGGGCAGCGCGTACATGAACGTGCGGCTGGGAGCTGACCACCTTCACTTCAATACAAGACACGGCGATCGTCCCCGATCTTAAGGGCCGCGCGAGGGCCGCACGCTGATGGCGCTCCCGCCCCACCGGGCAGTGGCGCTCACCGCCCGACTGGGACGCGCCAAACACCGAAAACAAGCCACTCCCAATCAGCGGCCAGCCTCAGAGGCGACCCACGCGTAATTAGACGGGCGTCTGTCGGCGTGAGAGCGGCCGGACATCCGGCGGGGCGGCGTGTGACGGCGCGGGCGGCTAGGAGCGCACCGCCGGCGGCCGGGGCCGCACGCCACTGACCTGTCTGAACTCTCGGCGCTGTCGGTCCTCTCGGCGCGCCTGCGTGCCTGCTTCGGCCGGCCCGGGTCGGCCGCGGCCGCGTCGCCGTCGCGGGGAGACGCGCACAGCCCGACGCCGTCCATACTCGAGTCACACGCGGAAGAGGGGTCCTCCGGCTGCACGGCCGACCACAGCACCGCCGCGCCGGGAGCGCCCAGCGGCCAGAGCCGGCCGCCGCATTTCGCGCCGTCCGCTCCCGACATTTTGGCCTCGACTTCGCGTCTGGCGCGCCTGTTGCGGGCTGCGCCCGCGCCGCGGCGCTGGCGGCGCCCAGCTGCGCGTGACGTCACTGGGCGGGGGGTCGGGCCGTGGCCGGGCCGGCAAGACGAGCCGCCGCGCCTGGGAACCGGTACCTTGCAAGGTCAATGTCAATGCTCGGATCAGCAGTGCCGCGGCACACACCCTAACCGGCAGCGACGGATGTGACGCGGCACACGTCGTCGGTCGGCTCCATGAGAGATCACGTGACAAAGTTTTTGAAAAGGATCGGACGTTCTCCAGGTCGGCGTGATACAAAAACCTGGTATGACATGCCAATCTGGCTGCAAAACATCAACCGACAGCATTTGGTCAGTTTCGAACACAGATATGTCACTTGGAGGGCTGCACGCTTTGGAATCTGATACAAGAGCGAGAGAACGCAGCGTACGCAGGCAACCATTGGCCTTATCTCCAGCCCGGATCACGTATGTACGTGTGTTTGTAGGTGGGGTGGGACGGGGGGAGGGGGAGGGAAGCATAAATCCAGGATCTTGAAGGTGTCCCCTTCCATGCAACAATGCAGACGTAATTTCAAATTCCGGAAAGTCTAACGGAACGCGTCCTCTCCTGCCACCGTGATGCCCAGTTCCCCCTCCCACGCCCAGATGACGTTAATCATGCTATGAGGCATCTCACATACCTTGTTTGGCATGAAGGTAAGCAGTCGTGAAGCGAGGAGTGTTCTGCAGGTACGCTGACAGGTACTGTCCCACTCATGACTGCAAGAAGTGCAGGGTTTCCGACAGTCACATTTAAGATAAAGATGGCTGATAAATTCAGCAGATCATTTATGTAATGTATATTCACATTTAACCTTAATTCATGAATTTTTGAGTAAAACGTAAACCGAAGTCTTTGAAGTTCTACAACTTAGTAGGAACAGACACCACACTCGTCCAATTTGACCTCGAACTCGCGGGAACATTCGCTGGATGTTATCCCCCGAAAGCTATGTTTTGGCGGTATTTCAAGCGTGTTGTGCAAGCGCAGAGCCCACAGACACGAGGCCAACTCCAGCGAACTATCAGTAGAAAGCCAGAAGCGGGATATCGCCGGGCACATGTGCCCGCCTGGCCCCAGCGGCCAATAAGCGTGTCACCACGTGTGCTGAACTAAAGGGAGGCCACGCTGACAACATGCTTCCACGAGCACCGGACTTCAGTGATTTTACGTGACTGCATGTGAATAAGTTTACATACACTATGGCAGACCGGTGCAAATATTTTAAATTTGATGCACGATTAAATGGCCGAAACATGACATTTTCAGGGAGCAGTTGGTGAAAGGAAGAGCCACGTACGTCCTGCAAGTTAGCTGTGGGTCCCAGAATCAGTTGGACGTGCCGCGTTTTGACAGAACTACACATCGAACATCCGGTGATCACCGGAGCCGCCAGCCGTGTGCTGACGTCAGCAGTGACGTCAGGTGGCAGCTCTCGGTGCAGCCACTGATCCCTCCAGTCGTCACGCACGGAACTCGTCGTGTCGCAGTGGGTCCTCAAACACGCTACGCGACAATTTGTAACGAGATTTCCGTGCGCTCAAACTATTATTTCCCCGGCCAGCGGTTCTCCAAGCTCCCTAAACAGATGCACGGGATCTTTAAGAAGCTCGTAGTCGACGTTGGAAAGGTTTCCACGGATGGTACTCAACAAATTCCGTCCGGGAGTAAGTTCATTGCGGACTCGTCCGAAGTCGCTGCAACCGCGTGGGGCGCTCTTAGAAGCGGTAAGACCGCTACGCTAGCCTGAAATCCGACGGAACTTCCCCATCTTGATGCCTTGAAATCCCGGGCTGGGCGCCCGCCGCGCTCGCCCTGACTCGCGCCTTTGCGTGTCCGAAAAGTAAGCGATTTATTCAGCGACGAATTCCGATTTCCACGAAAACTCCCCGCATGCTCAGGCGCGGCCGGATCATTTTCTCGGGCACCTTTGTCCCGGTTAAAACGGGCAGAGACATACGCCTTTGGAATGAGCGGAGGGCCGTGTCTCGTGCGATCCAACTAAAATACCTGCATTGGCACGGACACGGACAAATATCTGCACGAGTTCAGAACACCCGAGGCGAACGGAAACATCAGCCTCTGCACATATTCACATGCGATTTGGGGCATTTCGAACGTTTGCTATGTGCCAGCGACCACATCGTATAGATAGAGCAGTGCGGTACCACATCACAGCACTACACGCCAGGTGAGATTGGCCACGGTTGGCGTCCGACCAGCCGCCGAAAGACCGGCGAGCCTCAGGAGGCTGGCCAAGCCGGCTGACTGGTCATGGAGGTGGGAGAGAGGATTCTTAAAAATTGTATGCCAAGGGATTCGAACCGTGGATTTGAAATGCATTAAACCATTCCGTTGAGCGTTCGGAATCGAACGTTTGTAGGAATCAAATCAGATCAAAAGGAATCTCTACGAGTGGAGGCTCCTATACACGTTAAAATAATAGCATTTTCTTATGTGCTTCAATGACTTCATCAATACTCCACAGCTGCACCTGGCACTTCACACCGTGGCTCTCATTTCTTGACAGTTGATTCACGCATTCCAACTTGCCTTGAACATGCATGAACAGTCGAGCGATTCTATATATGCAACCAGCACGTTGACCCTGAGATCACTATCCCAATTGTAACTGGTGCCGGATTCTAGAACGTGTGTTCACTTTTGGCCGTGCTGTAATACATGCCTAAGTCTCGAATATAAGAAACATCTGCCTACTCAACAGTGCGTGGCAATCTTTGGAAATACTTCAGAAGGTCTACGGTACCTTGAGAAAATCACGAGGATCTCGGAAAGACGACTTTGTTCATGACATCTTAGGCTCAGTCTAACTTATTTTCGATTCCTTGAAAATGATGGTGGGGGGACCTGTTTCACTCAACACCCAAACGAAAACTAGTTCTGGAAAAGCACGAAGCTAAGCACCTCTTAATGGTGGCGTTTGGACCGCCAAGCTCTAGAGCCGCAGACCAGCCGATCTCACTGAACTTTCAATTCTTAAAACACTGACAAATGGGACGTGCCGGGCAGACTCCGTTGTTTTCAGTCTAACGAGCTGGTGTGACTTAGATATGAAAGCGTGGGTCCTTACAGAATCGGCCGCTGGCTAGCCGAAGGTGCCGGCCGGCCGGCCGCCCACTCTGGCTAGCTAGCGAGCTAACACTGGCTAGATGTGTCAAACCTTGAATGGAAAATAATCATAAACAGTAAGTATAAACATCAATAAGCTACCTTGTGTGGAGATGGATGAGCGAGACGATAACAGACTCGAGAGGCGTCAGCTGTTATAGATGATGCCGTAAACTAAGCTAATGGAGCAGGACATCGATACCACTGGGTCTGATCGATGCGCTTGAAGCCTGCCTCGGGTGATGAAATAACATGCAGAGGTTTGCTGGCGGCCTTTGCTCGCAAAATCACGAATTGCACCGTTTGAAACCTGCCTGGCTTTGTGTGGTCCGCCATGACATTTTAACCGTCAAAGTCAAGGGTTTGCAGCGGTTAACAGTTTTAGAAGTTTGTACAAAAGTACCTTGAAATATGGGATATTAGTCACAAAGAACTAGTCTAAACGCCTGTGCAGTTAACATATCTCAATCTATCTCAGTTAAGGGCAGAGCACAAAATAACTGGGAAGAACTGGTCTAAACGCCTGTGCAGTGAACATGGCTCAATCTATCTCAGCTTAGGGCATAACGTCTTGCATTCCAGATCAGTTTCGAAACGGGTGACGTTGGCCGCTCTCCGGTAGATGACTGGCGCGTTATGGGCCAGACAGTATTGAGATCCGCTGGCGCTTTGCTGTCGGTACAGCCGCCTAAACCACACATCTGGCTTGATGTCTGCGGATCTGACATCAGTCCTTTAATCGTCCCATCCTGACATCAGTTCTTGAAACCGATCCAAGCCGGACGGATCTGTGGTCGGTGTGCACACATTCATTCACACCTTTGCCAAGACGGTTGTCTGTCTTCTCCTCCCCTGGCATTCGCTAGTTTCGCAATGCCGCAGCGTTATCGAGGTATGGTCCCGGTCTGACCCGAGTTCTCCAGCCTTCGTTTGTTGAAAATCTGGAAACTTTACCTACGGGAACACATGAGTACACAGTTTGCATGCGAATGCCAGCAATCAGACAGCTCAAGTAAGTATTTAAGAAGTAAGTTCAAGTTTTCTCAAAGTTCAAGGTTCGAGTAAGACTCATTCGTCTAGCGGCCTCACCTGCAACCAATACTTATCGGCTACAACATACGCTAGCATTAGCTAGGTCACGGCGCAGCAGAACTTAAGACGCGCACCAAAAACAGACCACGTTTTGGATCATGTACATAGCTACAAGGGCGTTGTAGTTAAATATGCACATATGCAGCTGTCGGGTGCGGTTTGCAGGGCAAGCATCGCTTGCAAGATGTCGCTGCACGAACATCACACCCATTGTGGAAAACGGAAGTTTTAAAATGGCACTTTTGGCAAGCTTGAGGTGGGCGCGGAAAGGGAGAAACCGAGCTCAGTAATAAGAGGCTGTTTTTTTATTTTTAACCCAGCTCTAGCAGTATGAATATGCTACCAAATTGACCTGGTCAGTTACGACCGATGCGTACGTTGTCATTCAAAGCAGGAATCGATGCCGCTAGAGCGGAACCAAGCATAAGTCTGGCAGCAGAACCTGCATACAGTGGAAGGGCTGTAGCCAGCGTCCGGTTCGGGATCGCTCATCGCCCCCCCCCCCCCCTATGTGCCCGCCATCCTGGGTGGAGTCACCTGGCGGGACTGAGGCGATGTGACCCCAGGGGCGACGAAAGTTCTTCGACATGCGGGGCGCGGCCATGAATATTCTAAGATAGTTCTTTCCAGTCAACGCACATGGAGCCCATACCAAGCCCCCCCCCCCTCCCCCTCTGGGATCCTTCCCCGTTACCTCAGTTGGTAGAGTGCTAAACTGGCGTCCTAAACTGGCCCTGGTTCAAAACCCCATAATTCCAAGGAGAGCATTCGGGCGATGACGCATGCATGGCTGATAGCCAAGTATCATTCATAGCCGGAACATCGCGTGAGCATTAACATACCGGACAAGGGCGGTCGTACCTCGGCCAGAATGGATGACCACGCAGGAGCATGGGAGCCAGTTGTCCTACATCCCCGCCAAGCGCCTCCGCCCAGGACGGCGGGCACACAGGGGGTAACGGTGAACGGTCCCGAACAGAACGCTGACCACAGACAATTCTGGTCACAGTGCAGATAAGTCTGGCCACGGTACCTTGCATGCAGGTACTGTGACCAGACTTATACTTGGTTTCGCTCCAGCGGAATTGACTCCTGCTTTGAATAACAGCGCACGTATCAATGGCAGATGTCGACGTCTGCTCGGTAGCATATCCATGCCGCTAGAGTTAAGTCACAAATACGAAAATCAGACCCTATTCATTCATCTCTGTTTCTCCGTTTCCGCACCCACCTGAAGCCAACGAAAAGGCATTTTAAATCTGCTCCGTTTCCCTAAAACGGTTAAACCATTTGTGAAGCGACATCCTGCAAGCAAAACTTGCCTTGCAAATCGCACTAGGCGGCTGCATGTGTGCAGATAAGATAACTGCAACCTCCCTTTAACCATGAATATGACGTCAAACGTTCTTGGTACGTGTGCCAAGCTATGTGACAATCAAGGCCTCGATCTCGCCTCTGTTGGAGATTTTGACCACAGGACCTAAGCAACACGGTGCCAATTACCCGGCATTGGTAGTGTCGGACCGACAGAGGCCCTCATCGACCCGGGACCGCCGATCGGCGCGAGAGAACTTCTGACATTGCGGTGTCCTGCCCTGTGTGCCGGAGCCGCTTTATACCATCCCCATCTGGCCATTCGACATTCCAGTCGGGCCTCTGAGAGTCAACCCCTCGGGACCTATGACGGGGGGGAGGGGGCACACGTGTCCCTGTGTCTGTGCCCAAAGGGGGGGGGGGCGAAAGGCTGATTATACCCACGGGCGTATGCCACTCATCTATCGTTGGCTGTGGGTACGGCCAATGAGTACCCCTCTAAACACGTCGGCCAGTCGACCCCTCTGACCATTCTTCCGCACGGTCGTATGACCTTGCTGCGTACGTCATAACGAACAAAATTTGATATTACTGCGCTTATGTCAAAGCCGTTTGCATTTCCGTGCATTCACCTGTGCTTCCGGTCCGGTAATTCCTGGGCAGATGAGGGAGACGTTACAACTTTTTGTCGTTCAATGTCAGTACCTTGAAATGAAATGTGTTTCATCACCTGGTGTCATCAGATGTTCAACATATCCAGGACCTCCAACCATTACGGCACTCCAGGCTCAGCAGCAATACTTTGGCACAAATCATGTAACATTACACAATCACCAAACATTCGCCCTAAGCGCGCTACATTTTGTAATAAACCTTCACCAGACTCGCGTGTTGAAATCAATGCAATATTTCATTCTTCTTCTTCTTCTTCTTTTTCCTGCGATCCTAATCGTCAGCTACTGGGCTATCTGAAATTTCAAATTTACTACCAAGATATGCAAGTTATCAAATAATTTGCAACATAAAAAGTTTTAAATCTACGGTCTAATCAAAAACATATTTTTCTTCTAAATAGATAATAAATAAACTTAACTGTCCCACAATATTCACTTTTATTTGGTTACAAATACGCAGGGATACTAGTCAGGTGTTTAGCAAATATTTTTCAGCCCCTTCGTTGGTCTCCTTTTCAGTCACCTTCATCTTCTTGGCCTCTGCACCCGGGTTGAGCAGCGGGCTGGTGGCACCAAAAGATACAACGTTTTAAATCATGTTTTCGCCAGCATTCAGGGTCATCTCTCGTCTCCCAGGTACGGTTATATCTCTTATGTAGATCTCTAGATTCACCTATTCGTATTAGCCAGCCTGCGCGATGCTTTCGTGATTCTACACTCAAGTGGGCGATAGCGTTACTCATGGTCTTAATAATTTGCATTTAGGCGCATCAGCTGCTTATCTTTGTCTAGGACTGCTAATAAATTAACATGTTTTGGTCATCAGTTGTGAGTGGTTTTTAATATGCTGTCTTGTATAACTGTTGGCATGTTTCAAGAAAATGTGAAGCTACCATGGGTGCAACAGTTTGATCTATCATGAGCTATCAGATTCACCAAAAATGGTTTGAGTTAGTTTTTATGGAAGAAGTCACCATGATGAAAAATTTTTTTGTTGATTGTTGGGGGTGCTGGTGATGTACCAGCCAGTTGTCATAAATCTATCTAAAGTGCTGGCATCTGTACACTGAACCACTCGCTGCAGGGGTCACATGCAGATCAGGCCAAAGTATGCTGGATTTGCAAACAACCTTAATCTGGTAAAATGTATTTTTGCTATATTATAATCATAAATCTGTAAGCACAGAATTTCAGCATGCTGAACTTGGTGGTGACCCTGCACCAATTTCAGGAGTGCTTGGATAAGCAGTGTACATTCACTAATGTTGTTGGTGTGATGTTGCTACTATACTATGCATATCTGGTGTAGCATGTAATTTTTGCAGTCTGGTGCAGTGGTTAAGCTACATGTCTCGGAAACTGGAGGTTAAGGGGTTTAATTTTGGTGATAACCACCCTTTGTGCCAGGGTGCACCCCTCGTGCCAGGCTGAGAGGCATGCGATGTTGTATAGCCTTAGCATTTCAGTATACTGTGGAGCCACGATGACTAAGCTATTCTGCATAGCAAGTATGGATGTTTTGGCATGCTATTCTGATCTGGTTTGGATCTTTCCAAAAATTGTCTGTGCAATGACATTTTTACAAAACTTTAGCCTTTCATGGTGCCTGGTGGGAGGCAATAGGGGATATCCCTTCAACTCTATAATGTATGAAGACAGAGAGCCAAGGTAGCTTTGCCGAAAAAGATAAAGAATGATTTGTTGAAAACTTTCATAATGTGGTGATGCTTTCACAATGAAAATATTATAATCCATTACAACATGACTGAAGATAAGGGACATATGTCAATATTTTAGGCATTCAATTGTGTTGTTCTAAGCTTGCTGGTTGCAAGTGTCTGTGTGCTTATTCTAAAAATAAAATGATGCTGTAACATTTTTCACAAGTCCAAACCATGTAAGGTCTTTTGCAACATTTAGCATGACTGCTGGCTAGCTATTTGGGGTCAATGCAGTGGGCTTCTATGTTGATTGTTATACCTGGGCTAAAATCCCAGCTGTGCCTTGATACCTGGACCTAATATGTGTACTTAAGTGTGCCTTATGTGCCAAGAGCTCATCTGAAAATGGGGTACAACACAATATGTATATGTAATGTATTGTATATATGTACATATATGGTCAATAGAGTGCATTAGAAATATGATATTTTAATGGCTGCCTGATGTTACTTAACCAGTACTGTCTAGTTTACTGAAGGTCAGCTGTTTTCAACTTACCAAGAACAATGCTTCAAAACCATGAATCAAGAACATGCTTGTTGATATTTAGTTTTCTCTAGTTTGGGAGAAAGCTTCCCTCTGCCTTTATCCCCCCCCCCCCTTCCCAAGGCCACAAATAAGCTCAGCCACCACACAGATGTCCATGTGTGTAACCTGAAATGTCATGGTTGTGTGAAATTTCCAACCTGTCCATCACTGCCAGCTGTGGTTTTTGTTCAGAGCATATTTGCTGTATGACCATAGATGTGTTCGCCCACCCCCAGTCCGCCCACTGGTTCGTCGGTATGGCGGCGGTGAAGTCTACAAGCCCATCACCATGAACGACTTGCCTGTGCCGAAGGGATCCTGGCAGGAGCACTATAATGCTAAGCAGAAGAACTACAACACCATGCTAATGCTCGGCATAATCACGTTTACTGGCACACTTTTCGGGGTAAGGCGCCTCTTGCATCTCTGCTTAGTGGTTTGTCTCACAATTGCGTGCCAATGGTTTGGCTAGACAATCGATGCTCGTCGATATTTGCCATTCCCTGTCACCTGTCAAATAGTACATTATTGGAAGGCTTTTTACTGCACGTCGATCGAGCCCGCTTTTATCGTCGACGCAACAGCAACAAACATAGCAATGCTGTTTCGTGCGCCGCACGTTGCAGCGGTGTCGTAGCGTGGCTGATCAAGTGTTGGCAAAGCTCGTAACACGACACGACTCGACATACACGCTGCTCTGTCCGCAGGCGTACCAGTCGGGCCTGGTGGTGCTGAACACCACGCCGGACCTGAAGAAGATGAACATCAAGTGAGCGTCTGGGTCTGCGTCGCGTGCGCTGCAGAGTGAAGTCGAGTGTGTCCTGAGTGTGTAAAGCCAATATAATGTAACGGACCACGGGCGGTGTTGCGCTGGAACAGGTGGATGCGTGACGACCTTGGAGATGTTGCTGCAGAACAGGTGTTGGCAACGCTGAGCGGTTCTCCAGCAGCACTTACACCATGGCCAACGGCATCACCAGGACATGATGCTGGTGGTTACAACAATGTGGGGGGTGGGTAGGTGGTGCCCGTTGGAACTGCGTTCATGAATAAGAAGAAATGGCGTCATTGAAATGCAATCAATCGGTATGTCGCTGCTGTTAGAGAGATGAAACGTGGGCAATGGTATCCCTCTTTAACAAACCGCATGGGCTGGGGGTGGGGCTCACGGACAACTCTGCGTTGGTTGGCTCGGTCCTTGAACAGCACAATTTCCTGCACTTTTGTTTGGTTGCTACTTGCTGGTGTTCATCACGGCACGGTACCACGTCGGGTTTTGAATGGACGGGTTCCGCGTAACGATCCGCAGGTTCGTACGAGGCACTGGTATCCGAGGAGCATCGTACTGCAAAAATCCCTGGGTATCTGCAAGCTGTAACGCGCCAAGACACCCCACTGAAACTGCTGCAGTGAGCCTCTGGTAGCGGATAGCGTTTTTGATGCGAAATCAACGTTGGGGACCCATCACGGCGAAAAGCTTCATCAAACTTGACTTTAACACCTTGGCGCGGGGGAGACCTGCCCCAGCCCCACTTCAGTGAGCCGATGGATCGATTGGCCATCTGTCAACACAGCCTACCCAGCTATCCGCGCAGCGACAGAAGCCGGCCGCCTACAGACTCCTCGCAGCGGTGCGTGCCGCAGGTTCCTCAGGCGATGACATTTGGCGCTCAGCGTGGCAGAAATCCTGAGCCTGCTTAGTGGGCACCTCATTTGAAATGGAGCTGGCAGCGGGTGTTAAGCACTCGACTCAGTCCGCTTCCAAGGAATTCCACGGTCGTTCGTGCTGAAAATGCGTTTGTATTTCTGCTGTCTCCACGCAGGTGTGACCTGCCGCATTGGAACAAAGACTTCTGGCCATCGGCTAACACCGCGCGGGAATGGGACTACAAGGGATTGACCACCGCCCGCGGGTGGAGCTCTGTGGCCCAGGGATGCCCCTCCCTGCCCCAAATTTCTGAACGCATTAACATGGGGTCTGTGGGCGTTGTTTTAGGAGAATTAACTAAGGGCTCCGTTAAGCTCACCTGATTTCGGAAAAGCCATGTCCAGATGCCATTCATGGAAGCCATCCCTCAGTGAAACCCATCCATGCTTCCGGCGACCATACCATAGGTGGTGTAACTAGCCTTTACTGGCGCGTCTGCCGCGCTCTATTAACGATGGTGGGCGAACGCTCCCCCTGAATCTCCCAGGGACCAACGGACGGCTGGTCGGGTCGTTCCGAGGGTAAAGACTACCCCGAACCGTACCACCCCACCCCATGTCAGTCTGTTGACCTGTGGGTAATTGATCACACTGCAAGGCTCAGTCGAAGGTCGCGATTTTCTGGGGAAGAATTACTCTACATTTCATGTGTATTTAAACGCTTCGTAGAATGCGAGTATGTCTCGTTCAAATATCCAGATAAGCACGCTTTTAACAAACTTTGTTATGGACGGTAGAACCTAACCAAAGAAACCATCGCAACCGGTGGTTCCTTTGCTAAGGTTATACACAAACACAACTATTCTGTTCTGAAGTGGCTTGCGGACACCACATTACTTTTCAATGGTATGCTTTTTAGTACGTTAATATACTTCGCTTGCCTATCTGATATGCAACAACTCTTAAACACATGTTACAGGCATGTGCGCCTATTAGGTCATCCTTATGCAAGCGGTGAAAGAAAACTTCGGTCAGGCATGTGCGCCTATTAGGTCACTCTTGCGCTAACGGTGGAAGAAAGCTTCGTTCGCAACGAGAAGCACGACGTGTTTGGTACGGCCCAGATCGTGCGGAAGGTTCTAAAAACGCCTTTTTTTATGTCCGCGGTGTGTAATCGCTAAGTGTGCATTACATTGTCATGACTGCACTTGACGTACGGTTCGACCTGCCGTATCCTAGCCTCCCGACACGACGTGACTGAGCGGCGGGCTGCCACTCCGAGCCGTCTCGTTTGAACGTGAAACGTTCAGCGACGCACTGCGGTGTTCCTGTCGTGGCCGACGATGGCCCGGAGCGTGAGCTGCCGTGCTATGGGCCCGTAACCGGAGCTTCGTCCGTCAAGATTTAAAGCTCACACAACGTGCAAAAAGACGAAGTACGGCAAGTAACTAAGCCTCAAGGGGTCAATTTGCAAGGCCATTGTGGCATGACCTAGGACACCCGGTCTTTCAACGACCGCCATGACCTCATGACGAGCAGAAAAGTCTTGAACGTTCATTATCCAGCCGCATGTAGCTTGGTAGTCCTGTGCGAAATTGAACGGGCTCGAGAATCAGCAATATACTGTCGGCTAGTGCTATTACCCAATCGACATGGCCTAACATGACCTCAGTTCCAACTTCCCGACATCAGGCTTCGTGTACACAGATCAGGTGCTGAGAATTTCATATTCCTGGTGCCAGTCGTCCGCGTGAAAAAAAAGAAGAGAAAAGAGCCGAACGTTCCTCAGTTAACGACGCGTCTCGAATCATCATCTGGAGCCCACGGGTCGTCACACAGGACAGCGACGCATCCTTTCGAGAAAAGGTCGAGGTAAACATGTATTGATTGGAACATAACATACGAGTCATTATTACCAATGGTACGTTATCGTAACAGCTGCGCTCGCGACGGCACGATGATTGCACGCCCACGGGGCGATAGGGCACAGATACAAAAATAACATCCTCCTCAAATATGTCCATCATTGCCACCGCATCGTAGCACTTTGATCGAAGCCTTTCTGCATATTGCGCACTTGTGACAGGGCTGGCGATATATACGCCACAGAAAATTGGTCGCGTAACAATTACATAATGCGGGACAAAACGATCACTCCAGTTGCACGAGTCCACCACAGCACGACACAGTCGAGTACAGCGCCTAAAAGGAGGCACGATTGGGCCACACCAGTCGCGGCACGAGCCCCAGACCAGCGGCTGGCGCGCTCGCGCCGGCGGCTGCTCGGCTGCGGCGACGGGGAGAGGCACGGGACGGGACGTCCGCCATGGGCAGACCCCAGTGGAAATGGCACGAGACGAGATGGTGGGAAGGCGGACGCACTCGGGGCCTTCAACGAGCTAGTTGGGGGGGGGGGGGGGTCAACACCGCTTGCGGAGGTGAGGAATGTCTACGGGAAGGCCGCCTCGTCGGCAGGGTCGCACGCCACTCGACACGGGGCAGCATCACTCCGTGGTACAACTGTAACTGTTGCGACGTGGCGACTTTGTACTCCCATGACAAGCTACGCTTTCGCGCCGCGGCGGGGACGCCGGAGAGAGCGACGGGATTATGCACGCGTCCCACGCGCGCCCGCGATGCGCGAGAGCTGCCGCGTGACAGGCCGGCCGCCGTCGACCCTGCCCGACGCACGCCGGCACCGGGCAGCGTATCACAGTCGATGCGCGGCGGCCGACTACTTCAGCTCGACGCCGGATGCCTCCACGAAGATGGGCACGCGGTGCGTGACGGGCGTGTCCCCGGCGCCGCCCTGCCGGATGGAGACGAGGGTGGCGCCGGGCCGGCCCGGCTCCGGGCGCAAGATGGTCACCGTCGGCTCGGGCCCGGCCGGCGCCGCGCCCGGCCAGCCGGGCGCCAGCGGCGAGGCCGGCTCCGAGCCCGACGACGGTGGCGAGCGCTTGGACGAGCCGCGCGAGCCGAGCGTGCCCGCGTCCGGCGAGCGCGCCGAACGCCGCGATGAGCCGCGCGAGCGCAGCGACGCCTTAGACGAGCCGAGCGAGCCGAGCGCGCCGCCGAAGTCGGGCGAGCGCACCGACGCCTTGGACGAGCCGCGCGACCGCAGCGACATCTGGGCCGAGTCGGCCGGCGACCGACGCCCGTTGGCCGCGTACGACACGTAGATGGACACCTTGCCGGGAGAGACAGGCTCCAGGCTGACGTGCGCGCCGGGCGAGGTCGGCTCCAGGTTGAGCTGCGTGAGACTGAGATGCGTCGGCCGCCGGCGCCGGCTCGGCGACAGGCCGTTGGCGGTAGCCGGCGTGAAGCCGGAGTCGGCGCGGGAGCGGGTCGCGTCTACACTGGCGTGACGCGGACGACTCCCAGCTGGAACGGAGCGGGGTGCGGGTCACAGAGGGCGCGGCGTCGGGACGGGCGGCGCGGCACCAGCCCGGTCGGACTCGGCCACCAGCACATGGTTCTCGCGCTGGCTGTAGTCGGAGCTTGAATTATGTGCCAGTTTGGGATGACATGGAAGTGAAAGGCCACCAACGAACGCACTCGGTGGGTTTGCCGGCTGAAAGTGTGAATGGTTCACGTTGACATCACAGCAACTAACAAGTAACCGACGAGACACATGCCACCATTTCCTGTACATTGATAACGGCCGGTGACAGAACGTGGCACTGGGCCGACGTCTTCAGCTAGATCGTTAATTCCACGAAGTGCACTGAACGACAGCCATAAGCCAGGCAGCATCGTGATATGCACATTAGCGCAAGTGCTGCCAGGGCAGCAAATCATCCACAACAAAATGCAAAATAATACAATTGGACTCAATAACGCTTGCAAAAACATTCCCAAAATTAACAAGCATGCAGATAAACAAGCACACAAAACACAACACAAACTTTGATAAGTGTATAATTCCAGTTAAAAAAGCTACACACAACAAAAGAAAACAGCCCGACGGGTTTGGGCCGCCCTCTGCTGTCCGAATTCTCAAAACAGCGCGCGTCTGCATAGCTCAAGCACCGTTAATACCGTCGTACGCTAAAAAGGCGGATTAGCAAATAAATTGATCCTCATTCCTTAATCGAGACAGCGAACGCGTCCTTGAATAAAACCGGAAAAGCTGCCATCAAAACCACATTCACACAAAAAAGCATACCACAAAAAATCCCAAAGCAAAAAAACTTCGACACACGATAAAAGCGAGGCGTGCGCCGGCCTCTCACGAGGGGGTCGAGTCGGTCCGGCGGCGCCCGGCCCGGCCGCGAACCGGCCTGCTCCAGCACGATCGAGCTCTGGTAGTGGTAGCACGCGAGCGTGGTGGGGTCACTGTACCGGTACGAACTGACCGTCTCCTGGCGGTACCAGGTGCCCGGCCGGACTGGGGACGGTCGGCCGGCGGCGGCGTCACCGGGGCGCGACGCACGGTGGGCGGGGGGGGGGGAGGGGGCTGACGAGCTCCCTCGCAACTGCTCGAGACTGGCAGAATAGGGTCATGAGAGGACAGGAAACACCTGTAGGAGGGACGCACAGTACGCACCAGCGGGACAGACAGACAGACAGACAGACAGACAGACAAAGTTGACCAGACAGCGGAACAGACAGACAAAAGCCCACCAGCGGGAGAGACGGGACTCGCCAGCTAGAAACAAATATGACCCACCAACGAAACGGGCAGGATCCAACAAGACAGACAAACGTACCAGCAACAGGACAAATAATCCGCCAGCGGACCAAGCGTGGCCAACCAGCGGGTCATGTAGAACACACCTGGAAGACGGACAGGACCCACCAGGGGGAAAGACATGACCCACCAGCGGTATAGATATGACTCACCAGCGGAACAAACATGACCTACCAGTGGGACAGACAGGATCCACCGGCGGGACAGACAGGACCCATCAGCCAGATTGACAGGACCCACCAGGGGAACAGACATGACCCACCAGCGGGACAGACAGGGCCCACCAGACGGAAAGAAATGACCCGCTAGCGGGATAGACGTGACCCCCCCCCCAAGCGGGACAGACATGACCCACCAGAGAGACACAACCCACCCTCGGTGGACATGTCCACCAGCGGGGCAGACAGGACCCACTAGCGGGACAGACAGGACTCACCAGCGGGAGATAGCACCCACCGGCGGGACAGACAGGACCCACCAGTGGGACAGGCAGGACCCACAAGCCGGACAGACAGGACCCACCAGCGAGACAGACAGACAGACGGCACCCGCCAGCATCACTCACCGGCTGCCGAGAAGACGGGGGGCCCAACTCGTTGCCCTCGATCAACATATGAAAGCGCCGGTGGGGCACGGAGGCCTGGACGCGACGCGACACGAACGGACTGTGTGCGGCTGCGCCGGCGCATGCAACCGGAGATCGGGGTTGTTACAGCGGGCAAACAAGCTGCCGGCGCCGCTCAGGGCTCGGCACACACACTTTGAGGGGGTGACTCGACATGCCCGCCGCTTCTCTGTGGTCAACTGTCGGCTGTCAAGGCGTCAGCTGTCGCCACCACTCGCTTGCTCTCCAACACCCAGCGTTTGAGAAGACAGTGTCGAGTCACTGGCCTTCGGACCAGCACCCGACGCGCTAGCATGTGCTGTTGCCTTTAACGCGCCTGGACCACGACCCGCAACGCTCGTGGTGCATCCTTTCCCGGCGAGGCTTCTGTCGTGAATGCCCATAAATTCCCATGAAAATGATATCCTCAAAAACGTTCGTGACCATTTGACCTCAGACCATACGGTTCGGCCGTCATTTTCAACAGACACGTCCACGGCGCGTTCTGCTGGCGGTCCACCACTCCACCCGGTCCACCAGGACACGCCGACAGCGGCGCCATCACCGGGCCACGGACCGCTGCATGTCTCACCCACCTTGATCGGCGGCCCGCTCCCTGCGCCGCTGCACGCCGCCGTCGACCGAGCGCTCGCGGCCGTCCGCCCCCTGGTCCCGGCCGTCGGCCGGGCGCGGCTCGTCGCCCCGCTCGTCGCGGCCGAGCGAGTGCTGCCAGCCGTCGGCCAGCTTGTCGGCCGGCTCGGGCGGCGGCCGGCGCCGCTCGGGCGAGCCGGCCACGCCGTCCGGCTGCCGCGGCGGCGGCCAGAGCGCCGGCCGGCCCGGCGGCCGCTGCGGCAGCTCACGGTCGGACGGCGCGCCCGGCCGGTCCAGCTTGCCGGCGCGCAGCTCGTCCAGACAACGCTCCATCTCCTGGATGGCAGTGTCGTCGTCGAACTGGAAGTCCCGCTCCAGGCGCACCTGCGCGCGGGTCAGGTCAGGCGAGGTGAGCCAGGATGAGTGCAGAGAGATAACACGGGCCGAGGAACGCTCAAGGTCAGGTTTAGGCCCAGGCTCAATTTTAGGCCGGGGCCAGGAGAAACTCCGGTGGCAACAACTGACAGAAACGGCGCAAAACTCAAATGCTGTGAGTGCAAGAACATTCCTGTATGGGAAATGGAATGAAAGAATAGCTTAACCACAAACATTAATACAATATTGGTTTGATCCAGGTTCCAGAGTGAAGATACTGACATTGCTAATTGGCCGAAAACCACGCAAGTGGCGGTTGTATGAACCTGACAAAACTGCATGACATGGGATACACTCACTGTCAATAACACGAGAAATAAACGTGGTAAAACCTGGCACGCTACGTACAATGCAGCTACATCACAGTGGTGGCGCATATATCCAATTTCAAACGACATGAATAAATCACAAATAGATCACAAGTGTGCATTTCAGACGGCCTGACATCATAAAACACACATCACCATTGCACTCCATCAGCTTTACTACTCTTGCGCACCAGTGGGACGCCAGCCAAACGTAATAATGCTCATCTCTATGCGCATGATATACACACAGACATCCTGCAGCGAGATGAATCCATGTCTGTGAATGGGACTACACACATTTTGACTTCAACCCCTTGTAAAGGCCATGATGCACGATGCCTAGGTATGGCCAACAGCCACTGTCACCGAGTGCAAGGCCTAACACTTGTGGCAAACAAACGACATAACTGGAGCATATTTCTGTGTTATTAGTATGCTGCCATTGGTTCCTTGACTGAAAAGAAACGTCTCCTACAACTTAGCCAATAGCCACAACCAATCAAAATGTAGTGAAAAATGTAAATATTTTGATTTTGTGTTAAAACGGCGTAAAAATCAGACAGCAGTAAAAATAAGCTTTCAGCCCGCTGGAAGATCACCTCTGCTTTAGACCTCGATGTCATCAAGCCACAATGGTAACGACTATAAAGACCACAGGCTACATGGTCGGAGCCGGGCATCGTACACGGCGTCATCACGTCGGTTCATCACCACAGACCACAGCCTGTCTGACCCGCGGCTGGCACAGGGCGCCCGCATGACACCGGTGACGCATTCGCCGCCGTGGAGCTAACAAACACGAACACAGACCCCATTAGTCCGCGGGACAAGCCGGCCAATTCTGGTAAGTGCCGGCCACGGTTAATCCCCATAAGTGGCAGTTGCACGTCCCACTCCGGCGCCACCTGCGGTCCGTCCGATGGTCCCAGCCCCCAGCCCCAGTACCAGTCCCAGTCCAGCTCCAGCCCCAGCCCCAGTCCCTGCCGTCGGTCCGCGGCGGCGGCCGTCACCTGCAGGAAGTCGAGGATCTCCTCCATGGGCAGGCGCATCAGCGTCTTCTTGTGCAGCTTCAGGATCATGTAAGCGCCGGCCACCAGGATCGGCTCGCCGTCCAGCAGGTAGGCGTCCCACAGCCGCAGCGCCAGCGTGAACGGCACCTGGCGGCGAGCGAGCGCACGAGGTCAAAGTCCCGCCACCACCGAAGACGCGCGGCATGACCCTGCGCACGGGTGACGGCCAGCGCCGACGGCCGGCGTTTCAGTGTCGCAGTCGTGAAACCGAGTGTGAGCCGAGGTTCAGTAGAGCCGGTGGTCGACCACCGGCCGACAGAAACATAATTCTTTTGCCGAGTCAGACAAGACACACAGTAAGTTGCGCGGCGTGTGGAAAGGAGCCACGGAGCACGCAGCTTACCCAAAACTAGTCTCACTGAGAACGGCGCGTAAAAGTTATCAAAAGTCCAGTGCAAGAGACCCGCCCGTAATGAATGCGCGCACGACAGTGAATGCTCATTCACAGCTGCATGTGCTACGAAATGTAGGTCTGGTGTGAGGGCGCGTGTTCGTCTTTATTACGGAAAACGCTCGCCGCAGAGTCAAGCGCAAGACATGGCCATGCCTGTATACGCACTCACCCGATCCAAGAAGCACTGGAAGAACCATTTGAGTGTATAGATACCCGTGTCGATGCCGTTCTTTTCCATGTGTTTTTTCAACTTGGGCAGGTACTTCTTCATGATCTTGTCGTGATGCGCTTGCAGCCTTAACAGCTTTGGGAAGCCATGGATAAACAGACCTGCACGCAACGGATTCGTTAGCAGACTCAGCGCAGCCACTTCAGCGAATGACCCGACGCAACCGCGACACGCGACACGCACGCCGCTGTCGCAATTTGTCAGCAGTTTCAACAGGGACACAAACATGCAACAGGGCACTGGAGCAAACAGCCCGATCCCGCCCAGTCAAAAACGTTCATGCACACAGTTTGTCGTTAACGAAATAAGGCAGCATTACTTATAAGCATGAATAATGAAATTATAAAGATGGAAACAACACAATCATGAGCATAACACGATTAACAAAAGGCCAACAAGACAAACGATACATCACCAATCATATCGCTTTGAATGAAAGGACCGACATCACGTGTCCGTCAAAGCGCTATGTGGGGAGTCTTCAAGCCCGCCAGCTCCTTAATCCTCCTACGTTGGAAACCGGATGCTTGTTTCGACGCGGTGAGTCATACGGTGACATCACCCTGCCATTGCCAAAATAAAACATTATCCTCGCTTCTGGCCACTCTACGAACCACGTCACTACCGTCGGGTCCAAGCCCACCACAGGAGCTGCACGTGGGGGGTCCTCACCATGCATCCGATACAGGTTGCCCGTCATGAGCACGGAGAGCGCCCAGAACGCGTCTTCCTCATTCATGTACATGAGCAGGAGGGCGGCGATCTGCGACATGCCCTGGCAGTAGCCCAGCTCCGAGTTGTACATCGAGTACGCCGCTGGAACGGGCGCCGGGCCGCGTCAGCCGCCGGGCGAGACGCGCTCAGATGTGACGTGCTAAACATAGCAGACCTCCCAGGCAGCAAACACACACACAGACGGGGTCAAACGCGGCCAGACGAAAGGGAGCGACAGGCCTCTCTGAAACCTGCCGGCCGCCATTTCGGCATGTCGTGGCCCACGCTTCGCCGGCCTGGCGATGAACTGGCGGAGCAAATCTCCTCACCAAGAGGTGGCTGACAGGGCAAGGCTGAGCGCGGTGGGGAGCAGACGGTCACCGGTCCCTCACGTCCCCTCCCCCCGCCATACCACCACACGCACACACAGGGCACCCTGACTGTGGTTCAGACGGATAGGGCCGGCGCCTTCACTCACCGAGCACGTGGAAGAGCGCCTGCTGCTGGAGGTCGTAGCGCTTGCGGAACATGATGTGGTCGCGGTAGGTGCGGTTGACATCCAGGTCGATCTGCCGCACTTCGGGCGACCACTGACGAGCCAGCGCCCTCATCTCCTGCGACACACGCGGCCGTGAGAGGGCGGCGCTGGCGACGGGCAGACCGACACTCCAGCCGGGAGGGAGCAGACGCTGATGGGGAGACGTGGACTACACTGGTGGCGAGGAGGTGGACTGCACTGGTGACGGGGAGGTGGACGACACTGGTGGCGGGAGGGTAGACTACACTGGTGGCGGGAGGGTGGACTACACTGGTGGCCAGCGCCAGGTAGACTACACTGGTGGCGGTAGGGTGGACTACACTGGTGACGAGAAGGTGAACTGCACTGGTGGTACCTATGTCATCAGTCCTGATAGCGGGCAGGTGGACGACTTCAGCCAACAGGTGAAAGACGCCAATGGTGGAGAACAGGGTGACTCGCCACAACCGTGCGCATTCCAAGATTGTTCCGCTCACCCGACGCTTCGCCAGGACGCTACGTGCAGAAACGTACGCAGCGTTCCACCGGGCCACGCAATCCCGCAAAGCCCGATGGATTTGCATGAGCGTCCCGCATCAGTTATTCTAAGCGGATCGATCAGCGTATGATCACTGGAGTATTACACCGCGCGCCACAGGAAGGCTGCGGTAAGCCCCCACACCATGTCAACGCGACAGCCGCCCGACCACAACGAACGCGGCCACTGTGCCACGGCCGCGTGTCGACCCTGGGCCGTGTCCCCACCCCCTAGCCCCCTTCCCGCGCCGCCGCACTCACCTGGTAGGTGCCGGGGTGCTGCTGCTTCTCCTCATCGACGCGCAGCAGGTGCGCCCACACCTTGCCGCGTAGCTTATCCGGGATGCCCTTGTAGGCGCGCGAGCGGAACTTGTCGAGGCGCTTGTGGTCGCGGCCCGAGCGCTCCAGCTTGGCCAGCATGTCCAGCCACTTCTTCTCCCGCGACAGCTCCAGCGCCTGCTGCTTGCGCTCCAGCACGGACCGCGTCGCCGGCAGACGGTCGTCACTGCGACACGAAGGGGCAGGATGGGATAAGGATGAGCACTGATGACAAGCGGATGAGAGCATTATTCTCTCCCCTAAGTTCAGCGGATATTGGACAGCAAAACAAGAAATGAACCATCTGGTCAGTCATTGTTCTACGGACCGCCGAAACGGAAGGTACCTTCAAGAGCTGCGACAAGCCTAGAATATGCTTGCATAACTGCGAGGCGGGGCGGGGGAGGGGGCGGGGGAGGGGGTGGAGGCGAGAAAGCGAAATTCGGCTGATCTCAGTGACTTACCACATTTGCCTACTGCAGACAAGCTTTCACACGGCACAAAACTTCGAGACAACCGGCGCAGCTTTCTCGCATCGGTGAGGGGTTTCACGCTCATGCATGAACGGAGAAATAGTTCCGCGCAAAATCTCCCCGGCAACACATCGGAACGCCTTCTAAAGCGAGCCGGCGCATAGAAAATAGCACTGCTTCAAGCAAAATTATCGTCTAGCCTCCTCGCACAGATAAAAACGGCGAAACGAGTTATGGCTTTAATGCAGCGAGCCAGGCGAGCGTGAAAAATGCCGTTAATTATGCAGGTGGCAAGACGCCGAATATTCATAAACTCGTCCGAGGCTCTGATCAATGGAGGAAAGCGGGACGACACGGAACACGGGCCATTTCCAATCGGCACCTGGATAGAAGATTCGGCTCAATTACGCACACGACACACATATGTGAAACTGGAAGTAACAATGGATAGGCCACACAAAACATGCGATGCTAGATTGACTACAAAGCAAAAAACCCACAGCCCGTCGATCAAAATCAAGCTTTCAACAAACGGCGGGCGGTCTACCTTTTTGGGAACAGGTCTCAACTCGGGCCTATCGCCTTTGTGCACGTAAAAACTGGATCTAATCAACGGTGCACGTAAATTAGGACCAAACCGTATCATGTGGGCCATCGCTTCCGGCATCTGGTTATCCCGCCCCTCACAGCCGCAGGAGACAGGCGGGCACGCGGCTGCACGCTCCAACACGTACTGTATGAAACCGTAGCGGTCGGTGACGTGGTAGATCTCGAACTTGGGGTCCTCCCAGGGGTCGATCTGGGCGCCGTCCTCGTGGCCGATGTCGTACTTGGCCACGATGGCGGAGCGCTCTCGGGCCTCGCGCTCCGCCGGCTCCTCGGACACCTCCTCCGGCGGCGTCATGGCCGCCTCGCCGGCCGCGCCGCCGCCTCAACTGTGCAGGCGCATGGTCCTCCTGCGGACGAGGGGGTGTTCGTCAAGGTTGTGTCACACCAGCAGCTACGCTACAGCATCAGCCCCAGGTCGGCATCACGCGTCTGACGCGCGTGTGACGATGATAAGTGTGGTGCTCCTATGAGATGCTCCCATGAGGGTGGCAATGAGGATATAGTGCTCCCCAGCTCGTCAGCGCTCACAGCGCCCGTTTGTGGTTGAGGCGGTGGAGGCCTGGGTCATGCCACAGCCACCGTAACAACATCTCCAGCTGACATTAATAACACGAACAAACTGAAGAGCTGCAGCGGTATAGCAGCGCGTACCAAGACTGAATGTGCCGAGACACTGCAAAGATTTCCTGTGCCCCTTTAAGTAAAATTGATCGCAAACTCCGCCATCCAGCTCCAAAAGGCGATCAAGGCGCCGCAAAACACATCTGCGACAGCTGTTTTGGGACATCGTGCAGGCAGCCGGAGAAAGTCGCACGCAAACACACAAGCGTGAACCAAAAACAACGCTCAGAATCGATGGCGTGCAGCATCCTCAAACAATAGCCGTAGAGTTTCATCACTTCTCATTGCTAACACATCCACCCGCCATGGAGAGACGAGCAAACACGTGCCGACGCCTTCCAGACAATCTGCCAGACACGCACGTCTCGACAAACACACCGTTCGACGTTACGCCCGGTTCGTGCAGCGGGCCGAGGATCGTCAGGGACACGATCCGGGCGGCCGGTACGTGGAAACAAATAATAACGCCACGACGAGTCGACTGCGCTGGAGACGAGGTCACCTCCTCTCAACTCGCATTTCAAGGCTGCTGGCCGGCGAAAGTCTGGGATTCGTCGGGACACTAACCAGCTCATTCAGCGCGGGACCGGCCAGGCCATAAGGGACATAAAATCCCCGTCTACACACGGTACTCTCCCTCCCCCGCCCGCCCGTCCGTGACTCGCCGGCCGCTCCTGGGGCGGCGCAACTGAATGTAGCGCGAGGCGGACCGAACCGTCACGACCGGCCGGCATCCGGGCTCGACTCCCGAGCTGCGGGGGGGGGGGAGGTGCAGGGGACGGGCAAGCGCTGGCGCGGCGAGCCCAGCGCGGGGTATTCACAACCCGGTACTCACTGCCTACGGAGCCAGCCGCACTGCCCTCTCCACGCGCACAGAAGAGGCCGCGTCCAGGAGTGACCGTCCGAAGAACGCTTGTACGGTGTAGTGAGCCTCAGAGAGCGTGGCCGTGTCTCCGCCGGTGGCACGAGGAGAATGACGGCGCGCGGCCGGGCGTTTTCCGGTTCGTTTTCCCAGACAGAGCCGGCGGCGGGGGTGTTCACACGGGACCAGAAGCAGCGCTGCCGATGGCTGCCCCGGCCAGCGCGAGAGGCGGGCCGCGCAGACGCCGGCGAGAACCAAACGTCCAGAGCGGGGTTCAAGGAGCGAGCGGGGGTCAAGCTCCACGAACATGAACCAAAGTGATGCGAGGGGACGGCAGGACGAGGAGAGACACTCGGGAGCAGAGTAGCTACACCGCAAAACAACATCGGGATGGAAGAACCTCACCAGCCGCAAGAATCGTCATTACACACGGTCGTAAAGCATAAAGCAATACGGCCACGGTACACACTGACCAATGCCGTGACGGAACCAGGAGCTCTGGGCACTGCGACTTCGACAAGCGACGCAACTAATAGCGAAGCACGACTGTCTATTGAGGTCAGCCAGCGACGGAAAATGCTTAGCGCGCTGCGCTAGTGTGAGTTGTTGTTCTTCAGCCAGCGTGTCTCGAATCACGTGGGACTTACGGGCCAGCCTAGCAACAGGGGGAGAGGTGCAGGCTGAGCGCAGCACAAGGCCGGCAGGGATCGGGGCGGAGGAGCGGGATGCACCGCCGCCTCCCACACCAGGCAGCACAGGAGGCCGGCAGGGATCGGGGCGGAGGAGCGGGATGCACCACGACCTCCTACACCAGGCGGCACGGGAGGCCAGCAGGGATCGGGGTGATGGTGCGGGAGGCACCGCCACCTCCCACACCAGGTGGCACAGGAGGCCAGTGGTCAGCTCAAACCACATTCATAAGGCTGATATCATGGTCGACGGCGTGCAAAATCCGCACGTATGGACTGAGTTTCAGGCTCTGTGATTGCGCTGGTACGGCCAGTTGCTAATCAGTGCATGTCGGTGCTAATCAGTGCATCAAGCACCAGTCGCTGACTGAGGAGGCACTCTGCGGCATGCGGCCGGTCCGGAACACGCGCGCCGCACGCCTCGACCGCGCACCAGCCGCGTGCTGTTTGACCTGCCGCCGCTCATAACCTCTGGGCTGACCGGGCTCCGCCGGCCGGACGTTACATCACCGGCGATAGGCGCACCCGACGGCCCGCATCGCTAACTTATTCATCCTATCCAATGACGCATTCCTGTTCTGATGTCTCGGCCCCGCTCGAGGCCAGCGTTCCCATTCCTGGTCTCTATCTTGGCTGGGGCGTGGCCTCGGACAATTCCAAGTATGGCCATGCAAATAACAAACGTGTTGCGACGATGCACAGCAAAGCAATGCCAGGCGCTATTGGTATGCCATTACAAAGACGACGTAAGTCGATAACTGGAGCGGATATTTCAAGCACTTGTGCACCACGCCTGATACAAGGACCAGAACCGGCAGCCCCAGACGGAATCCAGCGCGGCTACTGGATTAGCCTCGCTTACCCGGAGTCATCAGCCCGACCACCTGCAGCGCGGCAGGGCTCCACCACGGTGCAGAGCTTTACCTCATACCATGCCAGCCATCCATTGATTCCCTTTTTACGCGTCAATAGCACCGATATCCTTAAAGCATGGCGGAACAGGCGTCACTTCGCCGGGGAAAGAAACATCCGCTGCTTACCTGCTTGAAGAATCAGCATATCGAGGCGTGGTAGTGTTTTTTCCACCGGCGCATGACTCACTCACTCAGCGATACACGCACCCCTCAACCATAGGCATTCAGAGAGCTGCGTCACCCCTTCCCCGATTGCCTTACCTTCGTCGCGCCGCCAAATGTCAGGACATCCCCAGCTGACTCAGCAGCCAGCGCTCGCCACCCGCAACAGAAGGCTCCCGGCCACCCGCACACTTTCACTCCGGTGTCATGTCTGCAGGTATCCGATCCCACAGACCACCGCCCGCCTGCCGGGCATCTCCGGCAGCGGCGGGACGGTGCTGCAGCCCGGGGGCCGTCCACCTGCCGAGCTGCCCACGAGCACGCCGACCCCGCCTGGCGAGCACGAGCGCGGTACTATCGCACGGCGCGGCGGGGCGGCTCGCGATGCCGCTCAGAGCCGCCGCCACGCCCGCCCCGACCGAGTGTGCCGGTCCGACCGGCGCGCGCGACACGCGCGCCGGCCGCCGCCTCGGCCGGCGCCGACGCCGCGCCGGTGAAAGTGCAGCGGGAGTGTCGGGGACGAAGCCGGCGCGCGGAATCGGCACACGCCGTGGCCGGCGGCCGGCGCGCCGTTTGTGGCACGCCGGCGGCCGCGGCGCCGATTGTAGGACGGGCGGGATGCGGCGCGCCGGAAGAGCGTGCCCACTCGCGCCTGGCGCCGGGAGCGAGGGCAGCATCTGGATATCGCGGCCATATCTCCGCTATCCAGACAGGACGCTGCAATTGTGGTCGCGTTTTCGGCCAAGATCTCTCATTCCACTGGGATGTGTTGAGTGCGGTTGTCCCAGCGGGCACGCACACGCACGGTACAGGTGGTGGAGAGGTGCCTGGACCAGCAGGACAGGGCGCGCTACAGCCCATCCAACCGGCCAGTGGCGTAGCCAAGGGGAGGCTTTTGGCGCCCCTGCCCTCCCCCCTTCTCCCCCACTGAAGGTGACAGGGGCTCCCCTGCGACTGCACGCCCCAGAACTGTTTGGCCATGTACGACACGGGGCTTCTAAAACATCCAAGAAAGGGTTCCCAATGCTTAAGAATAGGTGTTTAAGAGGGGGAACGGGGGGAGGGGGGGTATGAAAGCAACGGCTTCCGAGGCTATTTTCTGCTCAATTACAATACTTTTGCGCTATACTGCTAATGAGACGAGTAAATGACATGACAACCGGCCAAAAATAATATCTTTCAAAACTAACACCAAACAGCCCCCGAATAAAAACCAAGAGCCCTAAGCGACATTTAGGAGTGACGAACAGGAGCAACCTTGGCTGAAAGAGCCCCTATGACGCAAGTTGGCCCTCTCCTGAGCAAATTCCTGGCTGCGCCACTATAACCGGCACTGAGCTGAATGGAATACGACACAAGCTGTGTTAGTGCTGGCGCATCACCATCGATGCCAGACGCCTGGCTGCGCCACTATAACCGGCACTGAGCTGAATGGAATACGACGCAAGCTGTGTTAGTGCTGGCGCGTCACCATCGATGCCAGAGGAGCGACAACACGCTGCCCAGCCCACACCCTTCGCGAATGCCAGACGTCATCTTCCTCCACTCCCCCTCCCTGGGCGCGCCTCTGGAGCTCTACATGCGTCACTACTGCGGCACATTCCATCCGGTATTACTATTTGTCCCGGAGAGCACGGATCGCGTGCGAGCGCATGCACTGTTCTCGGCTGGTGTGTGCGGTGCAGGCGGCTGGCAGTCAGCCTCGCTGCACTGCCCACTGCAGCCACAGTGTGCGCAGTGGCACGCCCGCCGGCGCCCTGTGAGGCTGAGCAGTCGCATTGAGCGGGCCGCAAGGACTGAGTGGACTGAGCATACTGGAGAAACGGGCTGCTCTGCACCCACGCACGGGGAAAGGGTCGCATCAGCAAAGGCACCGGCCTCAGCATTGTTCTTCCCCCAACTTAATCTGAACCACGCTCTGTAGAACCAGCTTTGTTTACTACTCCCACAGTACACAAAGCTGGTACAGGCCTATAACGTTATTGTTCTGATCACCGTTGCTGTGTCATCAGATGAGGGATTTTCCTTTCATGCCAATTTACATTATCATCACTGGCTAACGTCCCGTACAAGGAAGCTGACCGAAGCAAGGTAATGACGCCAGTCGTCGTTAACATCAACGCCATGACTAAGCACACGTCAGAGCGTCGTCACAAGCTGCGCAGAGGGCGGAACGCCGACTCGCCGGCCGTGACGAGCCGGCGGCCGAACCCGATACTGACGACGGCGAGCACCTGCGTGACACATCGCCACGTCCCTGACCCTCCCCTCCCCCCTCCCCCCGCGGCCGCATGCGACGGTACACAGCCAGACGACTATTGACAACGCCCGCACGACCAGACACGGAGCAAACGGCACCGACGGCTGGTGGTCAGCGGGGGCGCTCGGTCAGACGGAGGGGGCGGGTCGCCAGCGGGCAGCACCGCATGCTGCGCCGCCTGCAGCAGGCCGTGGCACGCGCCGCTGAGTGAACGGACGACCTGCGGCGGACCGCACGCGAGCACGGACGCCCGCTGCCACGCTATCTTATCTGGCCGCCACACCGGGCGGCTGCGACCTTACTCTAGTTGCGGTTGCATTTTTGTCCACTTCCTTGTTCTACTCCCATTCTATTTGTGGCAGCCGACATGACCGAGTGGGCTCCAATCACGTCCCTTTGCGGGTTTCAATGTCAATTTTAATGACTCAAGGTCCTCAGTGAGCTTAGCGCCGTGGCATACCCAAGGGTGAGCTTCTGAGACCATGACACCCTGCCCTGGTGTTGTCAGGACCCCCATAAGTTGTGCAGTGCATTAGCGAGGAACATTCTTCACATAGATAAGACAGAAGTGGTAGCCTTATTCATGGGCGAAAAACCGATAGAATGGAGATGAAGATGGGTTGATATTTCAGCAACATGCCTTTATCAAAACAATAGCAGAAGTCAAAGTGGTAAAAAGCTTCCACTATTGTTTGAAAAAGGTATGCTGCCAAAATACCAACCCAACTATATTTCAATTTTCCTGGTTTTACTCAGAGGAATAAGGCTATCACTACAAGCGCTCATGTGGCCAAGTTCCTCATTGTTTTTTAAATTAAGCTGCCCACAGGGCTTCAAAACCACAAAAATAGTCCCTCAATGCATTCAAATTGGATTCCACAGTGTCAAAAAAATTGCCAAATGCAAAACAAGACTGCTAAGCAATACAAGGGGTATTGACAAGAAGGTGACTCCAGCCAACTTAAGTTTCCTCCTAGGTGAAGTCCTCATCACATTGCTGCCTCAGCAAAGACTGCTACGCCTCCATTCCAGGACAATAATGCAGACCCTGTATTCCCATCGGATGACACTGTCCAATCATGCACCAAACAGATACTGTTCTGTACCTCTACAAAATAGGCTGGATGAGAAGAGCATGTAAGGCCATCTCTGAGTTACAGACCTCCTGCCTGAATAAGCAGGATATTTTTGGGATACTTTTCACTTAACAGCTATCAATCACTAATCAGTTGCATTTTATGTGCATTTTACTGCAGTGCATAAAACACTGCATTTTATGTGCATCACAAAGCTGATTGAACACAAAATTATCCTCCAGCCCAAAGACTGTGGGTTCAATCAAAATTGCAACTAAGATAGCCTATCATGCTGTGTAAAATTTTAGGTTGGAAAAATCAGGTCCAGAACATATTACTGAAATATATTTAGTGCTACATATGCCCATAGGTCAAAATATCCAAAACCATTTCTTATGATTTGACTCACTTTCCAACATGATTTGCTGTGTTTTTTTTTTATAAATTCACAATGATTATGACCATACAAATGAATAAGAACTCTTACATCAGGGTACTAATGCCACAAACCTCTGACGAAAAAGAGCAAATAAGCAAACTTTGCAGCAATTAAGAGAATATCACATTTTTATAGTCACAGTAACAGAGCTAATTCCCAAAACATCATTTGTCAACACATATCATAATGTAAAAAGAGAACAATTGCAACTCAGTGCTCCTAAGCTCACAAATGCAGTTTGCATGCATCATGCATATTTCCTGTCATGGAAAGAAAGAAACAACAAAGATGTAGATAGATTGGAGGTCAATAAAAAGGAGCTTAGCCCTCAGTGCAAATGCAGAACAGGACTGGAATGAGCAAAGGTTTAGGGAGATGACAACAGATTAAGCCATGATATTTGTTCGCCAATGCAGCTAATCATTAAACTTCCTACTTTCCTAGGTCTGAGCCATGCTATGGAAAAGCCTGTGATTGTGGCTCCTACTTTGGGAGCCTGCAGGGGCAGGAGTCTATACAAGCAGGTGATCTAAATCAATACCACTATTCCTGTTAAATGTTTCTGCACCTGAAGAAAAAATACTCACAACAGTGTACCATGCACCAATAAGAGATCTAGGGCAGAGTCTTGATTTTTAGCCACAGTCCCCCAGTCCCTCAACCTTCTTGGTCCATCATTTTAAGCTCACTTGAGAACATGGATATGATGAGGATGGCCAGTCCCCCAAACCTAGAAGCAATACTGCAGATGAGTGGCCAGGAGCTATCTCATTAAGTCACTGAAGAGTGAATAGCATATATTGGAATGCTTTGAGGACAACCACCTACCAGGTGTGCTTTGTTCTGAATATGGTTGAGGAACTCAAGGCTGTCACCATCACAGCCTTCATGCATGTCATTTTCACCATGAAAACCACTTCAAGTCCACAAAGTTTGGAAAAGTTAAACAAGAACCTATCTGATAATCACATAAGTCAAATATTATGTCATGCTGCTTGAGTAACATTCAGGTAACACATAAACAAACCTGAAATCATTTCCACCCATTTCACAGTACAAACCAGCTTGTCTTTTGCTTTCACGAATTGATTTTACATCGTTGAGAATGCAAAGATTGAACAAGACACTTACAACGCCCCATATTCGATAGACTCACCGGAAGTAGGGCGCCGATCCAAGAGCAGATCTATGTAGGTACTCCAGATGCTTCAAAAAACGGCAATCTCGTAGCGGTACTCTGCGCCTTGCCAACAACCACACTTCTTGGAAGATATAAGAAACGATACGACGAGCAACAAAGCTGGCCGCACCTCCATTCAGCACTTACGGCACACCGACCTGTTCACTTGGGATATACCTTTGAATAGATGCACCATAACCCAGCACAGCAATCACGGATTACGCCCATCGCAATGTGCGTTGCGGAGTGTAAAATGCTGTTTTGACTACCAGTGCGTTATGAATGACCCTCTTGCGTCAACTATGTCTAACATTTGGGGTACAATACTTGCTAGTCGTAGACAATTATTTTTGTAAGAATGATTGAACTTTATTCTATTTGTCTAATAATTGGCAAAAATAGCTCTTTTTTAGCTATCATACTACAAATCAATAACAATATTTTCTTTTAAAAGAAATAAATGCTTTCGTAAATTTTCTCTCTAATTTTTCAAATTATTTCAATATTTTTACGTTATATGTCGTTTCTTGTGAAGTATTACTTTATATGGCATCAGAATGCTGCGATCAGCTGGTATGTTGACGAGGCACTGCTCACGCTGCAATGACATTCACGCGTGTAGCATTTAGTCGGTAGGCGCGTTCCGTCGCTGCGGCCCAAGAGAGGTGACCACTCAGGTAGGTAGTGGCGACGGGGATACGCTTGGCGTTTCTCTCGTTTTGATTGGTCTTGCTATTTTTCATTTATTGACCTATTCTGGCTTCATTATGGTGGGTATTGCTGCCGTCTTCGGTTATTTCCACGATTACGCCGGGGCTTGTGAGAAACATATGGTCCGTAAGCCTCCTCACTTCGCGTGATTGAATCTTATCCTGTATCCATTTGTGCACAACATGCCATGGAAAAACGAGCACAACACAGAAATTGGCACAGTGTGATGGCGCTCACATCCTACAGTGGAGAACAATTTGTGATGGTTCCAGGATGTAAGTATTTTTTCTCACCTTGCCTGTTTTCTTGTATTCATAGTGATGCAAACTAACATAGAATGTTAGCCAATAATAAATCTGTTCACAGAAATATAATGGACGCACTCCTTCAAGCTTTCCTTAGTATCCATACTTTTATTCCATGGCTGATGTTGTCAAACTCCAGACAAATATGCATTTTGCTGTGCATGTGTGTACACAGGCTATTAATGTATGGAATCGACTTGCCTGTAGCACATCATATTCACACTTGTCTGTAATTGCAAACATTTTCATTGTCCATCCTGGTAGCTCAGTTGGTTAGAACACCTGTCTTCAGATTCACCCTTCAGAAGGATAGCCAATGGTGGTATCCTAGCAGCAGCTTCATGAAAGGCTGGTTGATGTGGGGAGGGAGGAAGGAGCAGTAGTTAGAATCAACATTGTAGTATAATAATACCTTAGAGTTTTGCCAAAATTATACACATTGCAATGGATTAGGCTCCCACAATGATTCAGAGTTCATCCATCAAGCACTGCATGGCATTGGCTCAAAATTGCAGGGATCTTCCTAGAATAAGCATTTAAAGTTTAAGGACAAGTCAGTATGGCCAAGAAAAGCTAAGGTTCTCTAAAACAGGTCTTTGGGTAAATTTTTCCCTAACAATTGTTTTAGGTTGATCTGGGTAAAATATTTTACATCTGTACCCAGTAGTCTAAAGCCATGGTACATGATGAGGATGTGTGCCACAGTCAGCCTTGTATCACATCATGTGCAACCCAGAGGTTTGCTCCCAGAAGATGGTACCAGTATGTCTCAAGTGTGTCCTACTCTTATCATTTGATTGATCTCAATCAGGTGAGGACAACAATTCTACCTGATCTCATAATTCAGGGTTTGCTAAGGTAGGGTGTCAGGGATGCATGGTAGAGTATGATGGGACTTAGAACCATGTATTGCCCTCAGCTTAATGGCCTATCATTCCAGACATTTGACCTTTGGAACAACAGATATATTGGTTACTGTTGTGTTAACTGTATATCCCTGCTATGCACTGTCAATGTCTTTATTGTAGTCTTGCCTTTGTTCCTATTTGTTTGTGAACCTCTTATGACCTGGAACCCTGGAATGCCAGGCAGCCTTCTGCTACCTTCTTCCCTTGGCTATGCTGATAGGGTTTGTGTGCTTTGAGTACCAGACATGCCTTTTAAAACAACAGAGTGAAGTATGAGATAAGATTGATGTTACAAACAGGCACAATTGATGTACATGAATTTATGTTAGGATAATGCAGACAGAACAAGGACACAACAGGCAACTGATGTCATGCATTTCTCATCCAGCTTTATTCACCTTGTTATGACAAAATTCATGTAGACAGCTAATGGGTTCCTGTGGGCTGTGTTTTTGCATCATAATTATCTGTGCTACATATCTATAGTATATATCTGTGTTTTTGGTATATTAGTTATCTTATAGCATGTACTAATGGGATTCTGTGTGAACTGGAGTGGTTTTCTGTGTCAAATTATGTGAAAAGCAATGCATCATTTTCTGTTACAGCCCAACATGGAAAATCATTGGCTGCTTTTTGCGTGTCTTCTGGCGTTGATTTTTGGCGTGTTCGCTCCTCCTCCAAGACGTGAATCAAATCCTAAACAGCATTCCGACGAAGAAGAAGACATCAATATGAATTCAGAAGTAAGTTATAGTTCTAAAGTTGTCGCCGCACTATGTTATTGATGCTTTGGCCTGTAAGTCGTCAGTCACGCAGTTAATCCGGCTAAAGGTTACCGGGTGTTCATAACTTGCCTCACTGCCTTGCACGGTTTGATGAGACGTAACCAAAGCGTAACAAGGAGAGGGGCGAAAATGTCTTAAAGCGATAAAGCCGGATGCTGTTGGCTTCCGCTTATGACAATCAACACGCCCGCCCCCGTTTCGCACCTTTAGCTCGATTAGAGGTCAAACGGACGTTACATACTTTAGGATGTTACGCTTAACTTAGCATAACCAGCGGAGGGTTTTTCACTCAGCACAACCAGTGCGTAACCAAGGAAATGACTGAGAATGACAAACAATGCGTAACGGAAATTATGGACGGCTCCTTACATACCTATGTGCACACTGAAACTAGTCCGAAATGTCCATGGGCTCATCGTATGGGCAATGCCTGACCCAACGAAATGCTGAGTGGGGGTTATGCACGTACGCATGTCACACCTTATTTGTTGGCCAGATAGCGTTAAAAATACGCTGTAGCATGCTTATATGAACTACCATGACAGATGCTATTTTCAGAGCATCCCGCTATCCTTGAAGCAGCTGTAGACATGTGGACAACACTATTCTCTGTCGCATTATTGTCGTGCAGTGCCCAGTGCTCAGACACTGATAACTCAACAACCTGGCCCATGTACTGTACTGTTGCTATGCTGTTTCATGTTCAGTTTCAGCCGTATGCTACCAAACTCTCATAGTTTGTGATGAAGTGTTTTGTATTATTTGCAGACATTGGGTTTGGAGTACAGAAATTACCTCGAAGAAGTTGTAAAACTTTTGGAACAAGACTCTCAATTTAAGACAATACTTGACAATGCAACCGAAACAGAGGTCAAGGTAAGTCATACCCGGAGGCCAACCGACCTAGGCCCTTCATGTTTATGTCACACTTGATACATCATTTTCAGGAAATGATTTTGTGCCAGGCTGGTCGTCTGTCAGTTTCGATTACAGACTGAGCACGAAAGACCTAGCTGTTCAGCCGGCGACCGAATCCGCGCAAGAAGCAAACAAACATGAACTGATCACAAATAATTAACAAACAGGAAACCTTTCAGTAAATCGACGATAAATATTATCCTGTTTGGGGCCGTGTTGTGTGATTGCTGTCATGTTCTTACTGTCTGCGGCGTCTTATTTCACTCGTTTCTGCAGATATAAAGGCATTGATTTCACTGTGCGCATCACCTGCGTACCCTACAGTCACTGGAATGCCCAAGTGGCCAGTCAAGCTACTGAGCTGAGCCCTAGTGAAGCGACGACTAGCAACTTAAACATGGCATGACAAGAAAACGCATGGCAAAGACCTCTGCACACTGCCGGTCTTCCTAAACGGAGTCAGACGAGCATGAGCGCGCTTCAATCATATCTCAGCAACGGCGGCTGGCTGGGAGCCGCTGCTCTGCCTCTTCTCAACCTCCACTGGGTCAGCCATCATTCAGACAAAGTGCTTACTAGCGAGCGATTTCACTCGTGGTGGTCCAGTTGTCTACAGTTCCCCAAAGTGCAGATGTTTCTCTCTTATCTGCTTCTCCACTGACAGCGCGTGAAATGATGCGGAAATCTGGCACAATTAAAACCGACCTTCTGGATGTCTGAAAAATCAAAGCTACTGTGAACATGAAATGATCTTGTCTCTTAGCCAGTCAAGATATAACGTATTTGCGTTCGCGAACAGAGCGCGTTCGTGAACATCTGGCCGGCCGGCGGACGCAACCTTGCGTCTGTGTTGAATCCGCAAGATGAGCATCCCGAATTTAACAGTGTCAGTTTCACGTTACACGTGTGCGTTAATGCAGATCAGTCGGGTGATGGAGGCAACACAATGTTTAGAGAGTGCCAAAGATGGATTGAATATCCTGTCCGTACATGTTAAGGATTTCCTCCGCTCTTATCACCTATGTCATTGCGTCACCGTGCTTTTCGTGGGACGCTGCCGCAGCCTCTTTTTGTGAGGCATTCACACTTTGTGCTTTTTTGTGCATTTGGCTTTAAACTGCTGTGTCAGGTTGAAATTATCAGAGGCTCTGCGTGGGCGATCATTTTCACTCTGAGCACAGAGCGGTCCGAGGCAGCTTTGTCTGCAACGGCGAAATTTAACGTGACATTTGAAATGGCATTGCGGCGGTACGCAGTTGGCTTTGAACTTTATCCTTTGACCCCGTCAGCCGCTGTCGGATATGTGCTTAGCACGTGTGTGCATTGGGATTGCCATTTAACTTGCGACGAGAGCTGTTTTGTGGTAATACGGTAACGCTTACAGCCGTGGGTGTCGAATTCTCAAAATGATTGGGGAGGGGGGAGAGGCAGTCGTGGAGGTCGTCATGAGGGTATGGGGACGAAAAACAGCAGATTTCGTCCACTTATGCTCTGCTTATGCATTAGGAATATATATAATATGATGTGTATCTAATATATATATATATATATATATATATATATATATATATATATATATTCTACACTTACTATAAGTCTGTTAAAGCTACTGTGCATAGTTACAGCAAGAAAACGGGAAAATCTGGCAGCTTGCATCAACTCTGTGTAAAAAATGCACTTGTTCTATGAAGCTGAAGTGGTACAGTTGCACCTTTCTCATGCATACCAAAAGGTAAAATATTAGCACATTTGCCGTTAAGTGGTCAGGTAATTTTTTGCGTATTCATTTATGTATTCACGAGAGTAGTGTCAACAGTGTCTATGGCTATCGCAACCTTTTTTCTCTCCGGTTCTCCAAATACCTGAATTACATGGAACAAAAAATTGTGCATCTCAGTTAAGTAAAACAAAACATCAGCATTCCTCCATACATTGTTTTAGAGGATGTTTTTCAACCTTTTCCGAAATAACGCTAAGGCAGACGCCCCCCTGTTCAGAATGTTGTTTCCCCCTTCGTTTCAATAACGTGCATTGCGAGCCCGCTGTACTTTTATGGGACACTGTTTAAAGCTGTTGTGCCTCTGAACAGAAAGCGGGTCTCGCCCGCTCCAGTTCAGATGTGTTGCAAATAAAGCGCCCGTCGTGCCAATGCCGTACGCAAGGTAGGGTGATTATAGCAGGGTTGCTAATTGAGCTAGCTCTTCAGTGACTACGTGATTATGCTTGCGTACGCATAAGCGGTGCTCAATGAGCTCACCCACGCATGGGAGCAGTCTTGGCAACGGTTGCGTTGCAGTCTCCATAGCTCGCGTAGTGTCTGCCCCGTGGCTAACATTTGGCGGCGGCCTGCGGACGGACAAAAACGATAACGTTTCTGAAAGAAATATTTTTGAACGAGTTAAGATATCAATGCGTGCGCGTAGGACGAAATCCGAAAACATTTTTCATCTGTACCATTTTTATGTTTATAATAGGAATGGACCAGCATTCACAGCGCGGCTAACCTGTGCACCTGTGCTGGAATTCGATGCTGAAACAAGACAAGCAGAGGTGTAATCTCCATTTGCGTGCCGCTGTTGTTACTTTCCTGTTCAGAGGACGACCTCAAAACTGCACAGGTGAATAACACAGCCATTCTAATTTTTTGAATGACAGGAACTGACTTCGAAAGACTTTCACAACCATTTTTTACGAAGGCTGTTTTCGCGCGCCACGCGCGCGCCGCCACGTGTTAGTTGCAGCGGCCAACGCTCCTTGGTTTGATGGAAACTGCAATACCTGCCATCCCGTTGATGCTCTTGTGTGCAGTTTGCTTCACATGTTAAGTTTGGACAAAGATGGACATCATTGTTTGTGTTGGCCGTTTTCATTTTGATACCATCTTGATCGGGCCTATCGAGGCCGACTGTTTGGTCCTAATGGTCTTTGGCCGAAGTAGAGACCCGCGATGTCGCGGGTCTCTTGCTCCCAGTCGGAGCAACGGACCCTCTGACTGATGTCTGAGACATCGGTTCTGCGGGCCGGAGTCCTGAATGTGACCTACAGCCAGCACTTCGTTTCTAATCGGGGACTTGATCACCTCTACCAAGAGGCCTTTCGGTGCCCTCTCCGGGCCCTCGCTAGCACTGTTCTAGGCCGGCTCTGGGCTCTTCGACAATGCGGGGTCCCTGTTGGGCACCGTGGCTCCTGATTGACGCAGGAGGCCCTTCATTGACTCATACCTTCCCTAGAGTAATCTGGTGGCTGCCATGGAAATCCCCGGCTGATAGCCGCGAGGCAGGGCGCATGTTGCAACGCAGCACTCACGTTAGTCATGTAAGGCATGGTTTGTGTTGTTTTTGGTGATCATTGTTGGAAATTACCGCTTTGGTTTAGTCGGTTGGTGTAGATCGTCAGGTCTTTGTAACCGCCTTGTTTTTGTTGATGAAAGTTTTTGGGTGTTGATATTTTACCGGTTTGTTTCGCGTTTCGGTAAGACGTCGTGGTAAAATAACCCAGCTTGCTGCAGTCTGTGGAACTGGAAACGTCGCTAAATGGCGCCAAAACGCTCAGGCAAAATTGCACAGAACTAGACCAAAGCCCACAAAGCATGGTAAGTGTATTATAAATTACACTTAACTTGCAGGAAATCAGAAAATACTCAAGTTAACACGGTACATGCTGCGGAGCTTGAAAAGCGTGGCCAGCTCAGTCAGCTGCGCTCAACTGAACATACATTTGCCACTTTAATTTGCTCTGTTCCCTCTAGCCGCGAAACAATTAGAAAAAACCTCGCTTAAATTTAACAAAATTTTGAGTCCCATTTTCAATGTCTACCTTGCCCTAAGGCTTCAAAAGGTTAGAGGGCGAAACCCACCGTTGGGGGTGGACGGTGGTGACAAATTAGACACGGGGGGGGGGGGGAGGGCAGTGACCCACCCAAAAGACAAATCAATACAAATCGACACCCGTGTTGCGGCCCCTGTTGGCATGTAATTGCATGATCGCAGCGTGAGGGTTCAGAGTATGACCGAGAGATGGACCATATCGTTGTGTCTAACTCCGTTTAATTCATACCTGTGCGTCAGTCGTGCGTCATAACATTACCTTTTAAATTTGTTAAGCTCGCTTGATGCGTCCTGGTCCATCGCTAGCATCGCGCTACCGATAACAGCATCATATGTTCAGCCAAGGCCACCAACTCTCGTGCGTGCTCAGTGTTTCTGGCGTGGCTCGGCTCCTATGCATATTTGTGACGTGTCACCATTCTGTGCCATCGCCTCGGATTTCTGCAACGACCCGTCTCTAAAAAAGCAGCACCCCGCGTGTTGCGCCGACGCTCGCAGCCCCGGTGGGCCAGCTGTGACCTCCACACGTGTCAGGGTGGTCTGCATCCTGACAGCAGCACGTGTCGGCAGCCGCCTGGTGCCCCACACCCACCCCGTCATCAGGTGCCAGCCCCGGTCCCTGCATTTGTGTCTGGTTCCCCACACCCACCCCGTCACCAGGTGCCAGCCCCGGTCCCTGCCTTCATGCTGGCCTCAGCCCCGATACCAGTGCCCGTATACATGCCATCCTTCGACCTTGCACCAGCTTCGGACCATGTTTCACGCCTTACACCAACCTGCACAACCGGCCCCAACATTAGCATTCTGCCCTGCCCCGGTCCTAGCCTTTGTTTCGGCGCATGCTTGTGTAGCACTCTGGTCCTTTACACCAGAATGTTTCCGCACTTTGCACCGCACCTCACCGCACCTCAACAGATCAACAGCCGGCATCCCCTGTCACTACCCGGGCATCAGCGCCCGCACCATCGTCCTCCCCCGCAGTTTGACGCGTGATCAAACGTAGGCCGGGTACCAACTCGCCCCCGCGCGCCGGCAGTCCGGCCAGGTAGCCGACCGGCTGCACGTGGTGGACCCGTCCATCCGCTCGAAGCTGGACGAGCTGAAGCGGATCGAGCTGAGCCGGCTGCGACAGAAGGCCACCGAGGCGTTCGAGCTCTCGAACGGCCTCGACCGCGAGGCCATCAAGGAGCCGCTCCATCTCGACCACCGCAACCCGCACACCTTCCGTGAGGAGGACCTGCGCCGGCTCGTGCGCAAGGTCAGAGGTCGCCGCCGGGCTCAGGGGGTCGTGGGTCGGGGCGGGGGGGGGGGGGTTAACGGTGACCGCTGACGAGGGGCGGCGGAGGCTGATATAGAAGGGCATGCCATTGCACTGACATTGAGGAGCACGAAGGACCGTGCCGGACCGGGAGGGCTCGGGACCTGCTTGACTTGTGTAGAACGGCGTGTTGGGTGGGGTCGCGATCAGGAGGCTGATTGCGGACCGGCGGGGATCGTGACTTTCACCGACTTGCTGAGGCTGCGCACACCCGTAGTGTTCAGAACATGTTTCGTTCACATCGTCGAATTTCCACATCTCCGTTGATGCTGCATTTTAAGTGAGAGAAGCAATGAATATAGCGTCTGGATTACAACAGACAGCCCGAATTACATACTTTTGAAATACGTGCTCCCTTGTGAATGTTGGACAAGTCGGGTACCTCTGAGCGCGTCACTTCCTTTGCAGACCTCCCACGACTTGGCCGAATTAGACAAGGAGAGACGGGATGATTTTAAGAAATATGAGATGGAAAAGGAGTTCGAATATAAAGAGGGTCTCAAGAAGATGGATGAGGAGCATAAGAAAGAAGCACAGGCAAAGCATGAAGAGCACAAGAAAAAGGGAAAAGAGCACGCAAAGGTAAATGAGATATCCATGAGACTCGTTCAGCAGAATGAATTGCATACTTAAATATGTCAGATATGTTTTGCTGTGAGTCCTAGCCTGACGTTACGAAAGACAACTGATACATATTGGTGTGAAAAAACGACCCGAAGGCCAGCAACTGCCGTAGGACGCGCTGTAGCCTGAAGGCCTGTGCCGGCCTCAGTTCCCTGTGTTGGGTATCCAGCGCGCGATTCTTTTCATTCGGAAGTTCCGGCATCTCCACCCAGGTTCACCATCCGCTGAGTGAGGACCAGCTGGAGGAGGTGTGGGAGGAACAGGACCACATGGACAAGGACAGCTTCGATCCCGAAACATTCTTCCGCATGCACGGTGAGAAGGCGCCGGCGCCAGCGGAGCAGTCGTGTAGTGTTGTGATGTGCTGCTTTCAGCTGTCTTTGTGTGGTCATTACCCCTAACATTAGCCAACTATCGGAGTTGCGTTATTCATCTCAGTTTGCACCACCGATCGTAGGTGTCTATCGTCAGTGTATGACGCTGGAATGCACCTCGTGCGGCGGCTTGTCAGTTTTTTTTTGTCAGGCCACACGTTTGGCCCATCGTCGAAGGTCTCTGGTGGTCAGTTTTTCAACAGCTCTCAGAAGGGTCTCAGACGGTTTTCCCTTTTTTGGTGTTCTTATGTATTTTTAGTCACTGTCCTTAGGTATTTTTTTCAACGCCCTTACTTGAGGGTGGTATGCATTGCCCCCCCCCCCCCCCCGTCCGCAGCTTGTATTCGCCTCCGGACCTGACTACCTTCCCCGCGATGCCGGGGCGGCCACCCTCCCCGCACTCCTCACCTGACATCCTCGACGGCCACCTGTCGCGAGCTGGCCTAGTCCAGTGTTGCGCTGGCACGGTTCGATCGGAGGGAGCGTGTGCCAGAGCTGAAGGCGAACAGCGCTCCGTTTGGAATAGAGATGTTTGACGCCTGGCTGTGGCGCCGGTACTCGCTTGCACTTTACGCTCGTCGCCTGTGACGAAACTCTGTGACATGGGGTTGGCCGTGCGATACGATGATGGGATGAAACCGAATGTAAAGTGCTGTGTAAAGCATCTTTTGACGGTCACTTTGCCAGACGTCGACGGTAACGAGGAGCTGGACCCGACCGAGGTCATGGCGCTGTTCAAAACGGAGCTGGACAAGCTGTACAACGGCTCCGACTACGACCCGCGCGAGCGCGAGGAGGAGATGAACGAGATGCGGGAGAGCACTTACGCCGAGGTGGACACGGACCAGGACGGTCTCATCAGGTGGGTGGGCCTGCGACTCGGGGCACGGCTCATCACGTGGCGTGGAGAAGTGAACACAACACCCTGGATCTGAGCTTGTCCGCTTATCACATGCGTGGAAAGTGGACACAACACACTGAGTCTGAAGTCGTCCGCTTGTTATCTCATAGCGTGGAAAAGTGAACACAACACGTTGAATCTGAACGTACAGACACCGCTCATTAAACCATTAAGGTTATACCCCCGTGTATTAGAAGCGAGCCAGCTGTCTCTGACGGTCGCCTGTCCGCGCCGTTCGCCCCCAGCCTGAAGGAGTTCCTGGCTAGCTCGCAGCACGACGACTACAAGCACGACCAGGGCTGGCAGGGCATCCCCGACCGGGAGGTGTACGACCAGCAGGAGTACGACGACTTCTCGCGCCACCGCATGGAGGAGATCCAGCAGCACATAGAGGCCGGACTGGTGAGACGCCAGGCGCCGTGTGGGGGACGCTTCGACACTTGGTTTGGTTTGGTAGTGCTCGGCTGTACTTCGGTCGTTTGCGCCTTGCGTGAGGTTTGAGCCCTTGGTTTGTCGCGGCCTGCTTGTTTGACGCGCTGATGGCGTGGCCTACTGAGGGTCACCGTCACCAGCGACGCGGCTGCAGCGGAGAGCGGTCAGGCTGGGGCACGAGCAGCAGACGCTGTCTCGAGTCCAACGGGACTTGTAGTCCGGACAGCAGGCCAGGCGTGCACTGCACTCTGCTTTCGGGCCGTCCGCCAGCTGGCAGGACGACTCCCGCCCCGCATGTCACCTCGGTGCGGTGCGCTAGTGGTGCTGTATTCGAACAGCGTCTTGTCACCAGCCTGCCGGCTTGAGCCCCTGGGTTTCTGGGCTTGCATGGTGGCCCGTGCGGGCCTGTGCAGTGACGGGTCCGGACGTCCTGCAGCTACCGGGCCCAGGTTTCGGCGCGCCCGGGTACGGGCACCCGGGAGCGGGGTACGGGTACCGCGGCCCCGAGCGCGGCCCTGCCTATGGATACGACCCTGCCAACGGGTACGGCCCTGCCAACGGGTACGGTGGCTACGGCCAGGCGCCGTACCAGCCCGCCGTTCAGCCCCAATACGTTCCGGTAAGTGACGGGCAATCAGCTGGGATGGAGCCCCGTGGAGCTGTTCGAAGGCGCCATCTTTTGGACAAGCGTCCCGGTGTCTCGTTGCACCATCCTGTCGTGCCTCTGCTTTGCTGTGATAATTAGTGCCGCTGTTCCATCGTTTTAACCGTGCCATGTTTTTTTCTACGACCGTGGTCATTCATCTCCATCACATGCCAAAGGGCTCTGCCGCCTTTAACATTGTCCGTGTGGGAGAGGTGAGACGTGGGTTTGTGTTTTCAGCCGCCAGGCGGGCAGGGCTTGCACCCGGACCAGCAGCAGCTGCCGCTCAGCCAGCACGCACCGGCCGCTGGCCAGGTGCAGCTGAACCTCCCTATGCAGCAGCAGCAGCAGCAGCAGCAAGTCGCTGGCCAGCAGCAACAGCAGCAAATCCCTGTGCAACAGCAGCAAATTCCCGCACAACAACAGCAAATCCCCGCACAACAGCAGCAGGCCCCTGTTTACCAGCAGCAGGTCCCTGTCCAACAACAGCAGGTCCCTGTCCAACAACAGCAGGTCCCTGTCCAACAGCAGCAGGTCCCTGTCCAACAGCAGCAGGCGGTACCTGCCCAACAACCCGCTCCTGTTCAGCAACAGCAAGCTCCCATCCAGCAGCAGCCGCACGGCCAGGCAAACCAGATCCCTGTACAGGGCCAGCACTGACCGGCCTGGTGCGACTGTCTTGTTTAGCCGGGGGACACCACGCAATGCGAACGAACCGCGCAAAATGATTGCACAATGCACGCCAGCTGTGAACAGACCATTTTGTCAGATCGACAAAGCAAACATCTCTCCATTTTTGTGTGTTGCGTGCATTCACCATTGTTTTCGTGCCGAATCATCATTTCGTTGTTTTGCGTATTGGGGCGATGCCTTTGCTTCCTTTTTGCTTATCGGGGTTGTGCTTTCCATTCAACCAGATTAGGAGTTTATCCCTGAACCAAATTAAAGGGATGACGGTGAAACCAGCAACTTACCATTTTACTGTATTAAAGCCACACTTGTTCCTGGGGTATGGACTGCACCAGAAACGAATCAGTTGGAAAGGAACATGACTTGCAGCAAAATGTTCTTGCAGTGCTTTATATATTACTTCGGCTTGTGTGTAAAAACACACCTGCCTGCATTCCAAGGTATTGGCAGCTAGATGAAATCAATGGTAATCTACTTAAGAGTCGGCGAACACGTAGAGTTCAAAATCGGAGTAAGCGAAATTTGAGGTGGTGCTCCCTGAGTGAGGGCCACTGCGATGTCGACTCGCTCGATTTGCAGTCGTTGATTCCGTAGAAGCGCAGTCGAACAGTCTGCTATCTTAAAAAGTTTAGTGATAGTTCGGAATCGCTGTGAAATCGCTTCGAATCGCTTAGTGAGTGAATGAATAATTTGAACAATTCTTTTTGGGTTCCTCATCAGAATAGGCTTAGTGGTAAACGCTTGATATTTATGCTGAATCTCCCGTTTGTCTGTGATAACTGTTGATCCCAAGTTTTATTGCTGTGGAGGAGATATGAAGTGAGCATAGACGTACAAAAGCAGATGCGCCCCCTCCCCCCATCCCGCTGTCTCCCGCCTGTGCAGTGAATGCATTACACAACTTCCCACGATGTTGGGCTTCGAGTGTGATATTGACGAGCTGTTACGATATGCTTGGAGACAGGCCGCGCTGTATTCAATGAAGTCTATTTGTTGAATTTCAACGTGGTCACCTGAGGACAGCTGTGCTAATGTTCTCTGTAATCACTCGTGATATGCATTGGATGGCTCTCGTGTTAACCACTTCTTTTCGGAAACGTCGGCGAATGTACTGGTAAAAATTTGGAAACGGATGACGAGGCAGAATGGCTTAACCACGTCTGCTAGGACAATGTGCACCCGCGTTTAGTCCGCCCAAATGGGCATTAGAGTATTATATTTCATCGATGTGCGTTTATGTATTCACGCAATACGTAAAGGCGTGTTTCACGTAAAAGGGTGGCTTATTTAAACGAATGTTTTTATCCTCTGTGCATTAAATACGCTCCATTTTGCCATCTTCCGTCTCGCTGGTCGTTCGCTTTGCAGTGAAAGGCAATAATTCTGTGTTATTTTGCCCCGACCTGGGACCTTATTGGGAGATAGCGGTACCTTCTAATGAGACAGCACTTGCAGGTGGTCCTTCCAAATTTGGGAGCACTCGGCCATAGCACTACGGTGGAGTCAGCTGAACAAAACTGTGCAAAAATTGCGATATTTTGGCATTCTTGTTCTGCTGAGGCTTAAGAATGAAAAGATAACTGCATAATATTTGTCGTCTTATACCAGAAACGGTAACTGGGAAGGCTGATGAGGGCGGGTGCGTTCTACGTTTTTCGGGAGGCGGCCTTTGGCAGCACGGTTATCGGCTTTGTAGTCACTAGTCGCGGGTCTCCACGCTCCATCAGGCTTGGTTCCTTTCGCACCAGCGGGGTTTGTGGTGGCTCCCTTCTGATGCGCTGTCCGCGGTTTGTTACTTCCGGCTGGGGTTTGTGCCATCTAGTGTGTGTAGCAGGAAGAAGCCAGAATTACCTACGTGAGGCCAGCTACCATTCAGTGAAACACGTTGTCTATTTTTATAGCATGGGGCAATACATATTTTCATTGGTGCCTATGTCTGCACGAAATACGTTTACAGATCCGTTCATCCCCAGCCAGCACCGTTGGTTGCGTCGTATTTCGCAGCGCTAGACGAGAGTACGATCTCCTGTCGACTACGCTCCGATATGCCAGAACAAAAACAGGAAGCGGAGTCACACGCGTGATGTGCATTCCTTAGCCTTCGCGGCCGCGGTGTTATGTGGGGAGAGACGACTAACTGGACCTTGGCTTCTCCGCCAGCGACTGAGGCATGGCGGAGACCACAGAACGATGGGGTTCGAGACCCAGGTGGCAAACTGAACCTCCTACGGAAGTTATCATCTCGAAAGATGAATGGAAACCGCCACAAACCCGCTTTACGTTTGCCGGTGGTGGGTGACCGCGACTAAGGGGCGGGGTCGAAACGAAAGACAGCTGAGCCCTGAGCATGCCCGGGAGACGGCTGAGAAACAGGCTCGGAAGACTGCTGAGCACTGAACAAGTCCGGGAGACGGCTGACGAGCAGGCCCGGGAGACTGCTTAACACTGAACAGGCAGACCCGGGAGACGGCTGAGCACTGAGCAGACCCGGGAGACGACTGAGCACTGAGCAGACCCGGGGGAACGACTGAGCAACTGAGCAGACCCGGGAGAACGAGCTGAGCACTGAGCAGACCCGGGAGACGACTGAGCACTGAGCAGACCCGGGAGACGACTGAGCACTGAGCAGACCCGGGAGACGACTGAGCACTGAGCAAACCCGGGAGACGACTGAGCACTGAGCAGACCCGGGAGACGATCTGAGCACTGAGCAAACCGGGAGACGACTGAGCACTGAGCAGACCCGGGAGACGACTGAGCACTGAGCAAACCCGGGAGACGACTGAGCACTGAGCAGACCCGGGAGACGACTAAGCACCCGGTCTCCCTCAGGTGCTCAGAACCAGTCCGTCCCGGTCGGCCGTGTTTAGGCAGCGCCCGCCCACTTCCACGTTGAAAGCTTAGGCTGCGTCTGAAGGGCGGGCCGACGGCATCGGAGTACCTAGACCGCCCGTTGCCGGATATCTATAATATATGCATCGCATATATCTATATAGTGCATCTATGAAGTGCATCGTATATATCTATATACGATGCACTTCTTTCTTGAGGTCCTATGAACATAACCGCTGCACTTATTTGTTGTATTTTGACGGTCTATGGCCAGCGCCCAAATAATTCCAAAAAAGATGATCGTGGATTCCAGCAACTGGTTATAACATGTGCCTTTGTTTCTTCCTCCTGCGCGAGGCGGACATTCTTCAGTCCTAGACCGCTTCGAAACCACATTTGAATGAATTCTAAGCCGTTGTTTTCAGACCGTCCTAAACGTTCTTGTCAGGATCACAGTTTTCGCAGCTCGCAAGCATATCATAAATGATACCCCCCGGGCTTCGCGACATAAATTGTAGGTGACACGCGCGCAGGAAAATCACGTCACCATCAGCATCCATTTATTGCTATTTATGAAGAACCACATAACACAATACAACGCACGAGAACATGTTAATCAATGATAAGACACACGCAAAGCACAGCTGCGGTGAGAAGGCACTCCCGGACGGGGTTCTGGCGGGCGGGCCGCGGCGGCCGGCCGACCTGTCACCGACGACCGCCCCGCGGAGGTATCACAACGGTGGTCGGCTGACGTGGTGCAGCGACACGTGCGGGTACAGCAGCTGGGGAACACACAGGTATAAGGCACAGTGCAGCGGCACGTGCGGGTACAGCGGCTGGGGGACATACAACCATCAGACACGGTGCAGCAACGCGTGCGGGTACAGGAGCTAGGGAACACACAAGCATCCGTCACAGTACAGCGACACGTGCGGGTACAGCAGCTGGGGTAGGCATGTTAAGAAGTGGAGCACCGATAGTTGGTGCACAACTGCGTACATCCAGTAATAAATTACTTAATGGTATAACGATATCACTGTAAATGATATGATGAGCAAAGTACAACATATTACGTGCCGCAAATATCACAGCTATTCAGCACTGTAACGCCGTTCAACCAGCACTTCCCCGTGTACTTAAGATCGTTAACTCAAGTTAACATTTTTTGAACTCATAAGCGGAAAAACTAGGAACTGGCGGCCTTTATTTATCATATCGAGATCAACAAAGGTCCCTTTTCAAAGGTTCAGAAGTGCCTGACGGACTCCGGATCGGAGCATCAATGGCTGCCCCTGGCCGAAAGTGTTCAGGCGTCTCTGATATCGACTTGTCCGGGCGGCCCCCGGCCGACACCCGTGTCCTGGTGGCCGTCGGCTCGCCGACGTCACTGACCTCTGACCAGGAGTGCCAGGCGCGCCGGTCGCTGTCGCAGCTGGTGTGCGCCGGCGGCACCAGCAGCACTACCACCGCCAGCAGCAGGAACAGGCCACCTACGCAGTAGCGCGCGCGCGCCACCGTCTGCTCGCGGGAGTAGGGCCACGCGCGCGCCACGTCCCACAGCAGCTTCCTGCGGCCGGAACATGGGCCATCAAACACTGGCTGGCGTCCGAAAACATCGCGGGGGGGGGGAGCTGCGAGAGAGAAAGGAGGCGGCAGAATTGAGGCATTTAAATCCTAATGGAAATGGGTCAACACACGGCTGCAATTCTTTCGCAGCCTGTACTTTCACGTAGTCCGTAGCCTTTGGCTGCCTTCGGCAGCAAATTACGGACATCATGATGGTCATGACCGTCTTATCTACGCAGGGGGCGGATAGCTGGGAAAATCTTACTCCGTTGGCTACCCGACGTTAGTTAAGTTACCCGACGGTGGTGGTCTGGTGCAGCACGGCGTCGCGCTGTCTGGAGAGCAGCGTCTTCAGATCGTGCGCCAGCTGCTCCTGCTCGGACCGCAGCGACGCCAGCTCATCCGACACCACCTCCTCCACGTGAGACCTCAGTCTGACGGACACACGGGGTATAGATCAGGCACCACCTCCGCCACGTGAGACCTCAGTCTGGCGGACACACGGGGTCAGGTCAGGCACCACCTCCGCCACGTGAGACCTCAGTCTGGCGGACACACGGGGTATAGATCAGGCACCACCTCCGCCACGTGAGACATCAGTCTGGCGGACACACGGGGCACAGTTCAGGCACCACCTCCGCCACGTGAGACCTCAGTCTGGCGGACACACGGGGTATAGATCAGGCACCACCTCCGCCACGTGAGACCTCAGTCTGGCGGACACACGGGGTATAGATCAGGCACCACCTCCTCCACGTGAGACCTCAGTCTGGCGGACACACGGGGTATAGATCAGGCACCACCTCCTCCACGTGAGACCTCAGTCTGGCGGACACACGGGGCACAGTTCAGGCACCACCTCCGCCACGTGAGACCTCAGTCTGGCGGACACACGGGGTATAGATCAGGCACCACCTCCTCCACGTGAGACCTCAGTCTGGCGGACACACAGGTGCACAGGTCAGGCACCACCTCCGCCACGTGAGACCTCAGTCTGGCATACGCACGGGTTGGAGACTCAGTCACCAGTCACCACTGGCTCCAAGGACAGCACACGGGCACAGAAAAAGACCGGAAGTGACTGATCGAAACTTGCTGTGTATTCCACGACCACGATCGCGGGACAGAGTCTATCAACATTGGTACTCACTCATCCTCGTCCTCCTCGTTCTCCTCGTCGTGTTCGTCCGGCTCGGCCGACTCTGATTCGAGGTCGCCGGACAGCGAGTCGCGGTCCCGACTCGGCCGATCCTCCGAGTCTCGCTCTTCGTCCCTCTCCTCCTTGATAGAGCCGAATCTGCCGGCACAGCACGCTCTCTCTGAGGCTTCGGTGCGGAGCCAACCGGACAGGCAGAGGGTCACGCTGGGAACAGCAGGCACTGCAGAGGCGGAGAGACGGCTCATGTGCAGGCAGTGCCTTCACAAAACAAACGCCAAAACCAATGCCGCTGACAGCGGCAAAAGACCGCAAACATACCGGCGTCTCTTCACTCACAGCCGATCTACAAACTTGTGAGAACCCTTTCCGTCCCATGCCCCATCTCCACACCCTGCACGCCTCCGCCGTTCTACGTTGAGAGCATGGTCGGCCTCCCCATTCCCAGCGCTCACACTTCAGCGTCGCCAGCGCCGAGCGAGTTCCGCCGCCGCCTGAGCAGGGCCGGCGGCGGCGGCGTGACCGGCGCCGCCGCTGTCGCCAGCGCTGTCGGCCGCGGCGCGAACACGGCGATGGAGGCGCGCCGCCGGCCGGCCGGGCCCGCCTTGGCCGTCGCCGCCGGCTCATGCAGCGCGATGTTGTTGGTGGCGAGCACGCGACGCGCCTCCTCCAGCTCGGCGTGCTCGCGCTCGTACAGGTGGCGCAGGCTCTCCACGTGCTGAGTCATCACCTCGACGGCGCGCGAGACGCGCAGCTCCTGCTGCGCGGCGCCCAGCACCTGCCGGGGTGTTAGCGGACCGGGCGTCAGTCGCAGGGGCAGCCAGGCCACACGAGCCTTTTAAACATGATACGATGCCTCCAGTCAGCGCACCGCGACGCCGGACCATGACAAATAAAGCCAGAGGACTAACCTGCGTGGCTCAGACGAACTGTGTGGAAGAAAGGAGAGCGAGATCTATTCGATGCGCATCGTCCTACATCTGAACAGGCGCCATATGACCGACGCAGTCGCCCGGTCAGAAGTCAAATCGGTATCATAACATCGGAACAATGCAGTGTCGAACTGACTTCGAGCAGAATTCTCACACAAAAAGCACCAAGCAATAAAAAGGAGCTCAGCGTAATCAGAGGGGGTCACGGTTTGTTTTTCCGCGGATACTTTTATAACCGGACCAACCAGCCGCCCGGGCCAATTGTTACCGACTACTAATACACATCAGCTCTGCGAAGCGGACAGCTGGGGAGCAGGAGAGCCTGTCGTGAGGTCGGAGGGCAGGGAGCACGACACCCTGTGTTGGGGGCAGGGCCGGACGTCTTGTGGAGCAGGAGGGCCTGTCGTAAGGTCGGATGGCAGGTGGCACGGCACCCATG